AGAATAATATATTGTTAGAGATGCTTAGAAGACATTTCCAAACACTTATGGGCATCAGAAAGTATATCCAGAATTATCACTGTTCATGTAATTCTGTTTTTATCTACTATATGTTATAGTTTAAATCTGAAGATTAGGGATGTTTGGCTTCGAGATTTTGGTATTTTTAGTGATGAATACAACTCCATTATGTTTTCTTAGGGACAAGGTCAATGTATGAAATACGCAACAGGGCTCTCACAAGGAAATATTTGGGTTGTGGTGGAAACATCTTCAGCATAACCATTTATTCATGATAAATCATGTTTATTTTTTATGTTATATTTTATCCCTTTAGCCATAAGTGGTGACATATTGTTATTAGTCTCCAAATTATTTGTGGACAGTATTTGGTGGTGGGTGTCTGTAACAAATGGCAGGTGGTGACATTTTGTATGTTAATGCCTTGTATATAGGAATTCGAATGATGCAATAGCTACTTATCAGTCATCAAGCCCTTGTGATGCACCTCCCTCATATTCTCTCTTATGGGTCGGGGGGGAAGTACAGTGAAACCTGTATTTCGAATACCTCTCATTGTGAACACTTTTTTCAGTCCTATTTTCAGCTCACACAGGGCAGGGGAGCTATTGTAATCACCCACTTGTTTAGTCATAAACCTCCATGTTAAAAATCCTTGAAATGTGAACACCTTCCAATCCAAACACGTTTGGTTGATCCCAGTGGTGTTTGGATCAGACAGGTTCTACTGCATATATAAATATAAGGTGACAGAGGCTTGATGCGAGACTACTGTAGCTCTTAGATTTGGGATAAATAAGCATGATTCTCTTAAGATTTTTTTTTAGCATGCTGTGGAGAGATACAATAAATCAGTGATTCTGGCCTTGTATCCTAAGGGACCATGTCAAAATAAATAGAAAGGGAAAGGTAATATGGAAATATTATAATCGTTGAAGGACCTTCAATTCATATCTACTCTCATTGAATTATATTTTATTTAGATTTGTGCTGGGGGGGGGGGGTTAATGCGAAACCTGAACTAGCCTATACATTATAAAATCATGCATTTCAATTTTAACATTACAATCATATTTGGCACTCATTGTATCAGTAGGTTCATTTAGTATGTCATTTAGATGCTCATCACACATTTGTAACTCGTAATTTACTCAACAGTATATTATTCCTTCATTTCTGTTAATGCATCATTTCCTGAACATAAATGTATCATTGTGTTGCAGCTAATACTCCCGAGGGGGGAGAAGGGGGGGGGGGTTATAGCCACTATATTCTCTTTGATTTGAAAAATTTGATATAATTCGATTAGATAATAAATTTTTAGAAAGGAAACTGATACAGTGCTTTGATTGCCCATGACTCTTCCTTGTGATGTCTTAGATCAATTTTAAATTGAGAAATCATGCTTCTGACTCTGGTTTTATTTGTGCAGCTGTTGAGATAACTCCATAAAATACTGATACAGTACAGTAGATAATATCATATAATAAGGATTAACATTTAAAAAACTGATTTGTGTTCATTAGATAGTACACATGATTTCAATAAAAATGTCGCGAGAAGCCTGTAGAGTCTGCTAGTTACATCTGTGTGCGAAGGTTTATAGATTCAATATACATACAGGATATTGATCTCCGCAATTAGACCTTACAGAATATCTCTACTGCGATTTACCTAACATTGAAGCAAGTAGGCATTGCACTCACTTGGAATATTGAAAATAGGCTTGTATCTACCCAAAAAATCATTTGCATTCACCCAAAAATTGAAAAGTTTGAAAATTGCCACATTTTTACCAAACTTGGTCAGAATTGTGAAAAAGAAAATTTTGCTCCAAATCGGCGAAAAATCCTAGTGAGATAAGTTGATAAAGACGAAAAATTGTTCTTATATTAATGCAAAATGAGAAATACCATGGTAACACATCTTCTCTTTATCCTTGGCTCCCATCTGTGGCCTACTGTTAGTATACACATTGAAGACCAATCTTGTGAAAGTGATGGTGACAATCACATTTCAATTTTTTTTATCTTCTACAATTCTATGAGTCTTATAATTTTTACATTTACAAGGTAAAAAAGGAAAAAACATCTGAAAATGACCATATTGATATTTTCTGAAAGGTTGTACTTTTGCTTCTTTCCCTGAAATTCCTGTTTGAGATGCCTTGATAGGCTAGAAGTAATAACCAGAACAACGGCAACGCCAAAGCGTAGCGAATCCCATCGAACAGAAATGGCTGGCATTTTTACAAACAAAATATATAGCAAATATCATAAAATGACACACATAAGAAAGGCCACCATTTTCAAAATGATTGCTCACTAGCCGAGTTGTCATCAGAAGAAGTAATATGCTTTTTAGTAGCCACGTATAAAATTTTTAAAAATTGCACACACGTACATGTAAATGGTGGCCATTTTTTAAAATGGCCGCCTACTACCCAAAATGTCATAAGACAGTTTGCAATCCTTACGAGTATTCACATATCAAATATGAACAAAATCGCTCTCTTACTTTTTGAGTTATAATAAAAATTGAGTTATAATAACACACATGAAAATGGTGGCCATTTTTCAAAATGGCCGACTACTCCCGAAAGTTTTATTAGACAATGTACCATGCTTTAAGTATTCACATATCAAATACGAACAAAATCGCTCCAATACTTTTCGAATTATAGCAAAAAATGTAAAAATGACAGCCATTTTTTAAAATGGCAGCCTACTATGCGAAGTATCATGAGACAGTGTGCAAGGCTCATGAGTATTTACATATCAAATATGAACAAAATCGCTCTACTACTTTTCAAGTTATAGTAAAAAACGTAAAAATGGTGGCCATTTTTCAAAATGGCCGCCTACTACCCAAAGTGTCATTAGACAGTGTGCCATGCTTATAGTATTCACATATAAAATATAAACAAAATAAAATATGAACAAAATCGCTCTACTACTTTTTGAGTAAAATTAAAAAATGTAAAATAGCACACGTAAAAATGGCGGCCATTTTTCAAAATGGCCGCCTGCTACCCAATTTGTCATTAGACATTGTGCCATGCTTAAAGTATTCACATAACAAATATGAACAAAATCGCTCCACTACTTTTTGAGTTACAGTAAAAGATGTTAAAAAACACACGTAAAAATGGTGCCCATTTTGAAAAATGGCCGCATACTACCCAAAATGTTTTAAGACATTGTTCCATGTTTCAAGTATACACATACCAAATATGAACAAAATCGCTCCACTACTTTCCAAGTTACAGCAAAAATCGTAAAATGATGTGCGAAGGCAGCCATTTTTCAAGATGGCTGCCATGTATTTCTTCTTTATTTACATTTCTAGCTTAATCAATGTCCTATATAACTTTTTTACATTCAAAACATATGGCTATTACAGTTTTATATGCTGAACCTAAATTACTGTAAAATCGGCACTAAAATGGCAGCCATTTTTAAATGAGCGGCCATTTTAAAAATCGGTTTTTGAGCAGAACTTCTACCCCCATTGGGTACATGTGTACAAAATATGAACAGAATCGGGCCAACGGTATTTGAGTTATTGCCCGGACGGACAGACGGACGGACGGAGGCGTTCCCTATATCCCTCCGAACTTCGTTCGATGGGATAATAACACTCTGACTACTATAGGTCAGGCCTGTAGACAGCTTTTGCAAGGGGGGGGTTACTTTAAAAAAATTCCAGTGGGTTCACATTATGACAACTTTGGCCCAGAATCACTTGAAATGAATGGGGAAAATCTGTGATTTTGAAATAATTTTTGGTCAGGGGCAGGTGGGGCCGCTGAATTGTAAAACTGTTTTAACTCAATTCAGAGGTTAACTCATCTCTGCACTCAGAGTGTGTAACAACTTTTAAATAACTTTGAAAGAAGCTGTCTGGCCTTTCATGACATGTTTGAATGTAAAATAAATGCCAGCTACTATTGGAAGCATTAAATTCTGATTAGGTAAGGCTTGATCAAAGGATCATCTCTTTTTTTGTAGAGGGTAGATGTGAAATCAACCTGTTGAAAAGGGTATATAAAATTTCAGTATGTTAAAGGGTCTGATAAACCAGAATACCAGCCAATGTATTTTATAAGGGTAGATCAAAAATTTGAGAAGGGTAGGCTTTAAGTCCCATTGATCAACATTCCTAGAATTGCTATATTTATTCTATATTTATCTATATTTATATAAGATTTGTTCTTTCCCAGCCTCTGTAGTCTCTATCTCATTGACATCATATGATATTCAAGTAATTAAGAGGATGTAACAAACAGAGCAGCTTATAATAGATATTAATCAGTGTAATTAATGAATTACAAGATGGGAAAAATTATTTAAAAATTAGATATACGGGCAAGAAGTTAATGATCAAAAGAGAAGATTGGCGCGACCTTCAATTATGAGAGCAAAGACATTGTGAAGAAATTTTCAAATCTTATTCGTCGTATCTCTATTCCTTCTAGTGCCTTAAATATTACATCAGTATGGTAGACCATGGACATTTTTATACAAGAGATTGTTGTGAGGAAGGAGAATAGCAGATGTATTAGATTGGTTGATGTTTTTCATTATATCAAAAACACTAGAGAAATTAAGACATTCACTGAGTAATAACCAAGGGAAGGTTGATTAGCACCTCATCATGTAGTTTGTTTTGAGTATACCATACCTTATGATTTCAATAACAAGTTATGCAAGATAAGAAATAGTCTCGCTTCAAGACCCTGGACTTTCTACTCTAACAAGCTCTAACAACTGTGTCATATTAAGGGCTTGTAGCTAGACTAGATTAGAAAATGTATGACATAAACACAGTGTAGTTTAAACAACAGATCGGGATATGATCAATTAGATCAATATAAGAGTCTTATTGTATACTAAAGGTAGCAAATCAGGTCACTGTGCCCTTGCCCCTTCAATATTGTTACATGTTATTTCACATTTTGTTATATTCTTTTCTTTCAGTGCTGGACCCAAAAACGACAATTTATTTGAATGGGCGTCGACCATCCTTGGGCCCCCAGGTTCATGCTATGAGGGTGGAGTATTCTTCCTTGATATTCATTTCTCCCCTGAGTATCCATTCAAGCCACCAAAGGTAAGTGTAACATATGTTACAAAAATGCAGCTTGGACTAGACCATGTAAAATGTTCACATTAAGATGTTTATTTCCAGAGTAATTGGGACATTTAAAGTATAGAAGTAGAAATAAGTGTTCATGTCGGTTCTTGTCAGCTGTCTGTTTCTACTTTAAAATGGTATTTTTTATCTTTGGTTTTATGTATTTCGAATCAATGTAGAAAATTCAAACTGTTATAATTGTTGTGATTTTAACTGAAGCACAGGGATATTTTCTCAAATAGGTGTAAATTCTCGTTTACCTGGTCTAAAATGAATCAGACATTTTCATGATTTTTTAAAAAACCTCTACTGGGCAGCTAGGTTTTCATTTGAGTCCATACACATTTGGAAACTCATACTTAAGTGCAGGACTTGTTTGCTTCAACTCAAGAGAGATCATTTTGACATAGACCATATTGATACTTAAGTGTAAGGTCAGAAACCTAGTACCCTTGCCAAGAGCCCAGCTTAGTTTACACTCTAGAAAAATAGATCAATCTTTGATCTAGCTCATCTAGAATCAGAATTTGAAGTCAGAAAATCACGATACTTAATAAATTTTGGATATGGACAGAATTTGTTAACCTCATTTCCCACCCCACTCTCCTATCACCCTCTGTCATATGAAGGTACCCACTTACTTAAACAGTCTAGGAGGATGAGAATACCATGAATGAAGAATATAATGTAATAAATTTTCTATGATGTAATGAGTGTTAGAATGCTAATTAGTCTTACATTTAGCCTCTGGACCCCTCCCCATTCCCCAATTCCCCAATCCCCTTTCTACTTTTCTCCAGAATCTTGTCTTATATGGAAATCATTCATTCACTCTCTGGAATTAGAAAAAAGTGAGGTATTTTTGAGAGGGACAAATTCAATGTCAGTAATTGTTTTTGGTGGTACTTTTATAGTATACTATGCACCTATTAGGGAATGCTAATACTTGGGTTCACTTTCACTTAATAATGATGTTGTGGTTGCTAATGATTGATGATGTGGTTTAATAAGAAAACCAGGGTGGTTTTGCATATACAGTTGTATCTCATATTTGAGTGGGTTTGGGGTAGATATCACCCGGGAATATATATCGTATCTGAGGAGCGGGCAGGATATATTGTATATGTCCCGCTCCAGGCCAAATGCGGGCAGATATAATATATTCATCCCGCTCCCGGGATTTTTTCAAAAGTTTAAAAAAGTTTAAATATCAAAAGTTTTAATTTTTTTATTTTAAAATTTAATTTTTTTAAGTTTAAATGTTACAATTTCATTGTATTGAACAAAAAGAATATTACGAAAATGTTAAATATAAATATCTTGTCATTTGAAAAAGGTGGCAAAGGTTATATCTACCCTAAACCCACTCAAGTATGAGATACACCAGTTATGCACGGTCGGTTTGGATACATGGAATATCCCTTGGGATATACAATACATCTTCCCTCGGTCCCTCGGGAAGATATATTGTATATCCCTCGGGATATTCCCTGTATCCAAAACCTCCCAGTGCATAACCCCTATATATCCAATGTTGTTACTTTTCTAAATATGTGCATGGAAGTGCCATATTACATTGTAGATTACCACTTTCAATTTGTGTAATGCATTATTAGGAAGGCACTCACTTTTTAGGAAGCAGGGAGAATTTTGGTTCCCCTTTATATTTTTAGCTCACATGGGTGAGGTATTGTTATCACTCACTTGTCCCATTTTAGCTCAACAAGTACCTGTACAATCAACCAAATTTCATTTGCAAAAATTGGTCTTGTCTGCTACCGTTAAATATTAAAAATATTGAAAGCTTCCAATGTAAGCCCAGCCCCAGTACACATGGTGCTATTTTATTTAGTTTGAGATCTGTTATTCGTGTTTATTTATGAACTGTCATATCTGTGTGTTGATTTCATGACAAAATTGATTTTTAGCTAGTAGATCTAAAGCTCCAAATAGTTGCTGAACTAAATTGAAATAATCTTCGATTTATTATATACCGTATCCATTCAAAAAAATGCCTAATGTGAAAATATTGAAGCTGACAGATCGCCTCCTTTAAAAGACATGATGGAACAAAGAAAAGTGGACATCATGATTAAGAAAGTGCTGATTTATCATGCAAGGGATTTGTATTGTCTAAATTAGAGTCATAAATTAGTCAACTCAATTAACCCGAATATAATCCAATAATATATTGATATGTGCTCAACATGATAACATTCACTTCAGTTTAATTAAAGCTATTATAGAACATAGCAATCTGTATGATACTGTGAAAATTCACCAATTCTTTGGACCACAGGCCCTTAGCCCAGCTTTTGCCAAAGGGGCTTCACTTTTTAAAAAATTCCAGGGGTTCACATTTGACAACCTTGACCCAAAATCACATGAAAAGTGCTCAGAATGGAGAACTGTATGATTTTGAAAGATGATTTGGTCGAACCCCGAAGCCCCCCTGGCTACGGGCCTGGACCAAAAACATTCTGTTTACATAGATCACTTCTTTCCTCCACATCCTCCCAAGAGTGTTTCTTTTACACCATAACATCTGCTTTTGAGGCCAATGAGATCTTATTAGCATCTATGAATGAAGCATGTTAACTATTTTAATGTAATGATTGATTTGATACCGATCTACAAATTAATCAATGTAAGCATTGACAGTATCATGATTTCTTATTTTAGTATAATTATTAACTTGTGATTATATCCATCTCATACAACCTTTGATCATTTGTACAACCTTTGATCTCTCCTACAACCCTTGATATTTCTCAACCAGTAACCTCTCTCGTATAACATCTCTTTCTTTTTTTGTGACAGAATTGAGTTCTTATAGGCGATATGCTTCTTACTTTTTCACCTAATCTGTGACTTGTAACACCGCAGCTTTCAAATTCCCCTTACCACACATAGGGAATAGATTAAAGCTTGATATCAAGAAGATGTTTCTGTTTGATCAATATCTTGATAATTTATTGTTCAGCTGACATATTGTTATAGTCTCCAACTTTTTGTGGATGGTGTTTAGTGGTTGGTGTACGGTGGTCAGCATTCAGGGGTTCGCATGGTATGCTATAAGCCTTGACTTCTTAGGATTATCAACCATGTATTTTTTAAGACCATGCATTAAAAATAATATGGTAGAAAGACAACATGGAAGAGCCCACCCACTTTTGTTAGCAAACCACAACAGTTATGAAAATATACAAAAGTTAGGTGTCTAACATATATGTTTATATTTTACAATATCATATTGCACTGTTGATGGCTTATTTCTGTTAAATAAATCAGCACATTTGATTTTGATATTGGCATGTTTTAGTTTCTCATGAACAAAATGATTTAGATTCAAATTTCCCATTATCAGAAACATTTTTTTTCATTGATTTATAAAGAGTAAAGGGTTAATATCCTAGATGCTGTACTGTGGCCAATTTAATAGGAAATAGGAATGGAAATACAAGGATGCAATCGTTGCATTTGGAGCACATATTACCGTTCTGTAGAATAACACAGTCTAAGTTAGATACTTGGATGTTTCACTAAGTGCAAAATTTCATTTACCCAAAATTTCATTTACCAATTCTGTCAGAGAAATGGCTAAGACTGCTCGTAAGACATTGTGAGATCTACAGTCTTTACTATCTCTTGGAATAAACTCTCTCAGAGGCTTTAGGGAAAGAGCAACTCTGATAAATCAGAATTCTGAGAAGAATTTTTTTTCTATTGCTATTCTTCAAATTTTCAATCAGGTACGGTTTGGTGCAAATCAATTTTTAGCTTGGTACAAATAATTTTAGTTGGGTGAAAGGTAATTTGTTTTTCCTTTTTATAAGAGTTAAATTAATAGCTCATTAAAAGAGGGCTTCATATACTCTTATTTGTTTCGAAATAATCCTCTAGTTTGATGAGGCCTTATCTTATCAGATGTGGTGGTCATAAGAGAACTAGCCAATCAGATTGCTGCCTCTGGTTTGAAAAAGATATATACATGTAGTTCTCTTCAAAATACTGTCTGTCTGAGGCTTGTACCAACAATATGGAAATTGCTGTTGCACAATATTGTAGTATGGGAAGGTAGAAACCAGACTGCTTATAGTCAGTCCATAATAATGATAATATGCCTGCTCCAAAGGCAATGCCTGACAGGGAGTGGTCTCACCTTACGGATCTCTATGGATGACACATTCATTTATATTATTGGTCTGTTCTACAGCAGAATATTCCAATATGTTGAAGAGGCCTTTACACATTTCAAGAGTTTGATTCGCATCTTCAAACTAGTCTCTGGGTTCATGGTAAGAGTCTATCAGATCACTCGTTGAATTTTCCTGGGAGAAACGAGAAAGACCTATGCATAAAGTCAGCATCAAATGCAGTATTAAACCATTACATGAGTATTTATATCATACCTCTGCTTTATTCAAAATTTTTCATCGTGTAATTTTTTTTCTAAATTGCATATTAGTTTGTGCCTTTGCTTATGTTTTCTTTATGTTTTTAGTTAATCATTGATTGTATGCTCATTTGGAAGGGTGATCTGGAGAAGTTGTGATTAAAGAATTGATTTGTTGCAACTAATAGTGATCTCTACTGCCATAAGCACAGTAGGGATGCCTAGAAAATCTCTCCAATCATCTCTGTTTTCATACCATATCTCTCTGAAATATGAATGAATGGCTAGATTTTTTACATTTCTATACACTGTTAAGTTTGGACTCCATGCCAGTCTATTTTATTCCTTGTTTTTCAATTCTTTTTCTTCACTCTTTTTTCCATTTTGAAATATATAAATGTGACATTTTTTGTAAGGGAAATCTCAGATTTACATCATCTCCCATTCAGCTCAGGGAAAATGGAGAAAATAGCATGACTGAATTAGGAATTGTATCTTTGTATAATTTGTATGACTTTAAAATGAGAGCTTCATTTACACTGTGTTGGAATATGTTATCTGTGAGAAATATTGGATTTTTCAAAGGTCTCTACAATCATTAGATCAAAAGATTTACGCTTATTAATGCCATTCTTTATTTGAAAAATCATTTCGATGACATTTCACATGTCTCACTTTTAAAGCTTCATAATAATTATTAATTTTTGTGCAAACTACTTTTCAAATATATTTAGTTAGCACAAGTAAGAAAGAGCCCAGGCTCAACGATTAATATTGCAAACCCCCCCCCCCTTCCCTTAGTCATACTAACATGGTGAATCTCTGCTGTATTGTAACTTCCAATAAAATCAGAAGTAAAATCACTTTTCATTTGAGATCATGATAAACTCATGAATTTGTCGAATGGTATCTTTGATAGCCAATGTCTGGAGTTTTTATAGAATAATCCCCTTTAGAAGAGAGTATTCACAAATAGACCTATTAAGATACTATCGAAAATAACCCAGAGTAATTCATTGAGTTGTTAATATATAGTTCTTGATTCTGCAGACAAGCATTAGATATTCTTTATTAGTCACTCTGTTTGCTGTTCAGCATATTACCTTTTTAATAACGAACCTGAAAGACACCCAAGCATCTTCTTCTAGAGGCTCGAGGATGTGTTTAACAAGAGGCTTTTCTTGAAGCTCGCTCGTGTTTCTAGTGATTTCCCAAACATTTAAGCAATTAGGAGCTGAAAATTACATACCATCTTCTGAAAATTCATTTAGTTGTCTACATTATGAGCTGGTTATTACAGATAATTTTTACACATTCCTTCTATTCAACGGGAAATAGATAATGGGGTGTAGGACCAGCGGTCCGATGCAAGGTGATATCCATTTATGTCGGGGGTATAAACGCTATGCAGTTACTAATCAGTTAAAAGCCTAATTGACTTATGGTAATAACCCTAATTGTTTAATGCCAATACTTTCCTGTATTTAACTATAATTTGATACTTATTGTTAAGTCAGTGTTATATGTTTTGGGAGGCAGGGGTTTCCAAGAGCAGGGAACAATACTGTCATAAAATATGAGCTATTTGTGTATGGAGGAATAATGAATATATGTCTAGTAAAATATGTTTCAAGAAATCTTCATTACCTTATTTCTATTCTTTATTATTTCTCTCTGGATTAATCATTAAGATATGCATCCATCAAAGCCAATCATAAACTGTTAATTGTACCCTACATACATGTATATAACACAATAAATAATATTTCACCCATTTTCACTCCAGGTGACGTTCAGAACGCGTATCTACCATTGTAACATCAACAGTCAAGGCGTCATCTGCTTGGATATTTTAAAGGACAACTGGTCACCTGCACTGACCATCTCCAAAGTGCTCCTCTCTATATGTTCCATGCTCACTGACTGTAACCCTGCAGACCCCTTAGTGGGCAGTATCGCTACCCAATATATAAACAACAGGCCTGAACATGATCGTATTGCTAAGCATTGGACCAAACGTTTCGCAACTGGCTTATAGCATTATAACAAGAGACATCTATTCATGAAGGATATATTTATTTTGCCATAGAGCGGTGCATGTATGACATTATACCATCTTAACAGAGTACTTATGAACTACTAGTGGAAGCTTAAGCGAAAACTACTAGATAAATCTACACAGATGAAAGCTATGAATTGTTTATGGATGTTAAACTGCGTACATATAACAGCAGCCATATATCATTTTCAAGCATGGTGAACTAATAGAGAGTCAAAGTCATCGATTATCAATGGAATAGCAACAGGGAGTATAAATAATATCACAGATCAATAGTGTATTATCACGGATCAGTGATGTTGTGTCACAAAGCACTGTTGTGTCAAAGAACAAAATGATCATGTCACAGAACACTGAAACAGTGTCATCAATCGATTCAGTTTACAGATGAAGAGATTCTTGATTTGGACGAGTGGACACTTGAGAACCTTGGAAAATATTTTATTGTCTATGAACATGATGCTAGTGCTGTTCATCAGATTCAATTCCTAACAGGGTTCTCATCAGGAGATTTTTAGACCCCGGATTTTAAGCGGTATTGTGACAACTTTTTTCGCGGTATCGCGACTACTTCTCCTCCATGTGAGATCAGAGATATCCTATACCTATTAGTATACTTTTCAACATACTTCTTAAGATTATCTTAATCCCAATATTTATTTCTAAAGGGTTTCTGATTTCCTATTCCTTGTTTGTATCCAGTTTTATGTATTTTCTCAAGAGTTTTACCGCAAATAATGTGACAAAAATGTAAAATTAGACCCCGGAAAAAACACTTTAGACTCCGGAAAAGTTATTAGACTCTGGTGCAAGAGGGTTTTAAGACATTAGACTCCAGAGAATCTCCAGAGTCTAAAAGCCTAGTGAGAACCCTGCCTTAGAATCAAGACTGTAATCACTATATATTATAGAGGTTACTTACAAATGAGCCATTGATGAAATGTGAACTGAATGGGGGTTTAATTATTTTGAAGTAGGTAAACATGCAAGTACAGCCTACACAGTCAGTACAAATCAATTTGAAGGTAACATAATAAAAGTACAATTTTCTCATGTGAACTTTGTAATGTGTATCGGAATGTTTATAATGTAATTTTAAGGCCATTTATTGATATCCTGGTTGCAGTTTTTGGGGCTATTTTAGTATCAATTTTAGTATAGTATACGGGGAAATGGCATAAGTTGAAAATAATTGAGTTTTATTGGGTTTAGTTGATTGTTGTGTAATCAAAAAGAAATGCGGATGTTGAATCAGAATGATATGCTTTTGCTAATGATGAAAAATGAAATATGGGTTCAGTAAGTACATTCAATCTTTGTACATTTGATCAACATCTTTAGGAATTGCCCATGCCTGATTTGGGACGTTTATGAGAGTGATATATTAAAAATGCTTCTTTTCAAACATAGGCTCGTGTAAATTCAATGTCAGTTTAGTAATATTTGGCTGGTCATCTAAAAAGATTGTGCAATTTTTCCATCATTTCAACATGTAGTTTTGATTTTTTAACTAAGAAGATAAACCCTGAACTACCAGTGCTCTTCTTGGTTATCTGGAGTCTATTCTCCCAACAGACAATTTATTTATAGGGGCCTAAGACCAGTCCATTTAAACATGATACTTATATCAGCACTCTTAAAAGTCTTTAAATACAATCAAATCCTGTTATGTTAGACATTTTAAATTGTTTATTTGTGTTAACTAATCCAGACACAATAAAATTTATTGCAGTAAGACAAAAACAAGTATTTTACATTTCTCTTGTTAAACCCCCTCAGATATCTTAACTGTGCAATTTTCATTCAAAATTCAGACTTTTTTGCATGAATTTATCAATGTATTTTGTGAGATGTTAGGCATTGTATTAAATTGTGAGTGTACTTCAAGTGTAATTGTTTTCCTACAGATATTCCTGGGTGGTTATATTAATAGTGTTTGATATTTCTCTAACTTACCTGGTACTATCAACATGTTCCTGGTACTATCAACATGTTATGACAGACCAGGCCCTTAGAGAATTCTTCAATCGGTAATTTTGAGGGATATATTTTTGGCAAAAGTGGCAAAAAAGCTACAAAATACTGCCAAAATATATTTCCCATAATGCCCAAATTCATATAAGGTGTCAGATGTGAGGAAATTGTCCCTGGAGACCATATTTGGGGGGTTTTCCATATTTGGTCATTTCAAAATTACCACGCAGGAATCTGTTAGGTTTAGAGCTGTGTTCAGTTGAGTTGAATCTGGCAGAGGGCAAGATGTAATTACAGAATCTCTGTACATTTTATTGTCGCAATGTAAACATTGTAACAGGTAATAAAAAATAAAATTATATATGAAATATATTTCTAGTGTTTTGATCGCTAAATGGTATTTTCAATGGGACATCCATGCACAGTTAATTGAGTAATATCTGATTTATCTTTTATGCCACTGGGACTGGCCAAAAGTTTTTTAATTGGCAGATGTTGACATTTCAAGATAACTTAGCATGGAAGTTTATGGCATTCTAAAAATGGGACTGAATAAGAGATTACATTGATATGTATGAGAGATTTTCAGATATTACAAGTTTTACTGTATTTAAATTGGCTTCCTACATCAAATCATCATATTATCAGTGATAAATAAATGTTTATCAATTTTTCAATGGTTGATAATTGAAATTTCCAAGCACTCATTTCAATTTGACATTGATCTTTTTCTAAAATTATAGTAATATAATAAAGTGATAATTATTAAGGATAAGGGGCCATTACCTTCATGAATTTATGACACCCAAATGATTGTAACCATGTAGCCATGGATATTATAATGCCATAGTAAGAGAGTGATAGACCTTGAAGTTCTTAACTTCATGAAAACGTCTGGTTAAGAAGACTGCCTTAGAAATAAGGACGTCAAACATTTCCACACTATATACAGGGTGGGCCAAAAAAACAGCACTTTTTTTTCAAGACACTACAACTTTTTTATTTTCCAACCTACATACCCCAAATTTTGCAGTTATATAGTGCCAGGGGTTCTTAGTAATAATATTATGGAACAAGTCCTTCAACTTGGATTATATATGATCTAAAAGGGGAGTTCAATTGGTCCGCCATCCTAATTGATGATATATTTTAGATTTAGTCGCCTTGCTGATATAGCAGTATCAATGAAATGTTAGCTAAGTTTTTTAAACTGTCTTAATTGCCAGCTTTAGTTGAGCAATTTTCTAGATTGGGTGCCTTCATACAATCTCCTGGAGACCTTCCCATACCCTTTACTCACCGGTGTTTGCATCAGGGCTATTAGCTTGGCGATCATCAGGCCGTATCAGTTCAGGAACATTTTGCAAATTATGCTTATTTCTCATGGCACACCACATGTTTAAGTGAGACGCTGGTGACATGTTTTTTTCAAGTAAAAGTGAATAATTCATGATCCATGGCTAGATAACAACCTCAAGTTTCATTTGGTATGCAAAGTATGATTTTGTATCAAAAATTAAAAAAGTTAAAGCATTTTGAAAAAAAAGTGGTGTTTTTTTGGTCCACCCTGTACAAAGAAGTCCAAAAATCATTGGACAAGTCTTAAGATTCTTATTTTCAGTATATTAACAACAAGTTGTTCTTAGCACACTTCAGTGGCAATCCTCAGATTTAATATATTGATTAGACCCCTTGCCAAGGAAATAATTTCATTTGTATCATCACTAAGGCTACAGCTTGAATTTCAAGAGTAAGATGTTAAATGTCAAAAACCCTTAGATTTTCAGCTAAAAAACTTCACTCTGATTAGAACGAACATTTGGTATTATGGTTTGCCTCTCAACCAATCGGAGTACAGCAGAGATATCATTATATGATTGAACAAATATGTAAAATTGTGACTGAACAATGACCAGCTCGTATTGGGTTGGCAGGTTAAGAAGTTCATGAGTTAACGCAGAATGAGAACTTTATTTTCTTGAAAGGGTAAAATGTCAAGCTGACTCAATACTGTAGATATAGGAGAAGCCTTTTTAAAATGTCGTCATGACAAGTCATAAATGATATTAATGTGCAAGAGATCTAATCAAAATTGGTATTTCTCTTTTTATCACTTGTTGCCATACGAGTGAATCAGTAGATAATTTTAGATCTATGAATGATGGTTATTTAATTATTTGGATTCTTTTTTAAACCAGTTGGCTAAGATGCACATAGTGTAGATTGGGTTAATTTGGTACCTACTTCAATTTGGGGAATTTGGTGAAATAGAAAAAAAACGCCAATTTACATTTTTGCCAAAATTTAGAGGGGATCCCCAGGAATTTCATCTTGTGTATTGTATTTAGTCATCTCCCATCCTCCTAAGCAGGTGTCCAGAATCCGTACATCCTTCTTCCCCCTGCTATAAGCAGTTAGCATTTCCCCGATTAAGAACTCGCAATTTGATTGGCTGTCGCAACACTGGGACAGCAATCATGTATATGTCATCGGCGCATAATTAGATCACGTGATTCAGTTTAATCGGGCGCGTCCAACTTGGTTATAGCAGGGGGTAAAAAGAAAGAAGATATTCTGGATTTTGAAGCCCTGTGATCGGAGGATGGTCATCTCCGGTCTTGAAGGGTTCAATTTTTAAAATATTAAGATTATTCAATCTCTGTCTATGCTGAATTGTAGATGCATTAACGCACATTTACTACATGTATGATCTAACATTTGTCTTGTGCTAATAGAAGCCCAGAATTGCAAAATTGTTTATTTATCTTTGATATTTTATCCTTCATCAAAATTGCGCAATTGAAATGTGTGTTCACTATACAGGTAGTGTTCATGCTTTGATTAAATAAAACATGTAAATTGAAACACAGAATTGCATTTGACAAATCCCCAACATATTTAAAACTAATTTAGCGTAGATTTTCCCTATTCAACGGGCCTTTGAATGGCGCTGTTTTGACAAAAAAATAATAAAAAATCACATTAAAAAATTTATGACTATAGTATACTATGAGTGCATTAATACAATCAAGTTAGCATTTACTAAGATTCAATAATCTTTTAAAAGTTAAAAAATTGAACCCTTCAAAGACTGTATCACAACCCATGTATGTGGGTAAGAGATTTTTATACAAAGCCGCCATAAATGGCAAATTATCAAATTAATTAGCGTCAAATTAACCCAATCTACAGTACCCCCAAACTCAATGGAAATATAGAAGTCTGTTTGGCTCATTGCAGGTTATTTGATTGTTACCGTGAGAACATATATAGACTTCCACATCAGGTTAGGAACCCTTTAATGTTGAGGTGGACCCCTCCTTGGTCCAAAGGTATTTCAATTCTTTCCTGCAATAGAAGTGAACCCTGATCTTGAAGGATGAGGTGAACCTAGAGTTTGTAATTTGCATATTGTATTGTATCATGGGTGAACAAGTCCTTAAATTTTCCTCATTATACCCACCTTTACAAATTTTGTTTACACAGTAAAACCTGTCTTAGTGAACACCTTTCTCAAATGAACACCTGTCTCCAACAGACACCCTTCCGGACTACATACTCAACTGACTTCTGTATAAACATCCTCTCTGTAGTGAGCACCTACCTACAGTGAACTCTTTTGTGGCTTCATAGGTGTTCACTATACACAGGTTTCACTGTATATTTATTATATTTGCCTGAAGCCAAATTATAGTGACCGCTATAATTTTGTCACACTGTTGTCACTGTAAATCCAGTCCCCTATAATTCACCTATTGAAACATCAACTCTTGTAACCCGTCTCATTAGATATTTCAACATTGTTCTAAACCTCCTCACATCATGTTGGAATACAAATTAAAGGTTGCCTCAACAGAAAAACATGACAAATACGATTTCAATCTTCATATTTTTTATTTATCATTTCAACTCCTGTTTCTCTACATCAAATCACATCATTTGATAATCAAAACCACATGTCCAAGTTTCATACACATTGTAATATACAGAATTGCAATAGGATATTTTGAAAAAACTAATGTCACATCCTTATTACATATACCCATTGGGAAATTGAGTAATCCAAGTCTCATTTCCACATCCTTTCAGCTATTTTATCATCCCCATAGGCACTGTAGATATTGTATTCAACAATGAGTTACCATCACAATTTTCACTTCGCTAAATACATGTTACTCAATATGTGATAGACTAATTATATGGACCAAATATGAAGTCATATTATTCTATGGATTCCACCCCTCACACCCATTTTCTTTGTGTTCTACACCAGAATTTGATTCACAATTGAATTATCTAGGCATACTTCTTAATTTCGTAGGAACGATGACTTCAAGTGTTGAGAAAAGGAAAACATTGTTATTATATAATACAGGTAGTTTGTTTATGGTTCACTGAGACAGTAATACTGCAGTGTAGCCGCATGTCCCCATCGCACATCGATAATTCATAACAAATAATATATAAGCTAAGCTACTCAAATAATTCTACACGACTATTGGAAATAATTAATCAGTCTAATGCAGTGCTTCTAAAATGGGCTCAAATTGAGACAATCTTCCATTTGTTGGTCAAGTTTTCTTAGGGCTGTGTGATAGACTAATGTTGTAATTATGATCTACGCAAATACACTCCCCGCAAAAGTATGGCAACCTAACCGACAGGTAGATAGCCTGTTAATATTTCAAGTTAAATTTTTCATCATGATGGAATTCATGACAAATCTGACTTTTTGGAATCATCAAACATGAAATAGGCTTAACAAACACGCAGGGTAGTCAGTGCTGCCAACATTTTGAAGGGGGGTGTAAGTGTATTAATCTCAATATGGGTAAGAGATTAAAGACTCTTAGTACAGATCTGCAATTGCATGTCTCTTAATCAATCCATGATTTCATCTTAATCATTTGGTAAAAGGGGTCATTGTATGTATGTAGGTGAAGGTTTAAATAGTCTTGTATAGAGATCCTGTCTCCATTCCACCCATTTTTTCTTACCTAGAACAAGAGAGAAGACGAAAGGATCCTAATGCAAGACTAATTTCTGACATATTTTCCAATGTCCCACAATTCCTTCAAACTAGTCTATCTACAAGTCATTGTGACCCCCCACAAGTAGTCAAATAGTGGGAGAGGGGGGGGGGGGGTGACAGGGACTTGTAGCTAGACTACCTTCAAACCATACAGGATTAACTTTCTCCCTGGATGAAGTGTCAGACTTTGGTACAATAAATTCAATGCACAAAATTAAAATAAGCCAAACTGTTTTAAATGCCCTATTGTATTACCACTCTTACTTATTGCATGTCAAATGTTGAAAATAATAATGACTATAAAACATGTCTATTTCACTTACATTTTATTTTGATTATTTCAATAAATGCTCTGATTCGTGAATTAAATCAAGTTGAAATTTTATTATTTTCCAATTGATATCAATGTACAAAATAATTCATTATGCAAAAAACAAGGAAATTCTGAATTCATGAAATACAGCATGCGTGACTTAAAATTTGTTTTATACTGTAGATTACAGTTGAAACATTAAACACAATGTTTCGCCCATTTATCAAATTATCACATTCAATACTGAAATCAGTAATCAGTCATATTGTAATACATCTTATACAAACAATTTTAGTTCCATTGTAATACACACACACTTTTAACCACATATGAATATTACTAGGTATTTCCATGGCCTTTCAATTAACAAATCTTAAAACATAAAGACTTAGAAGATTTAAACTTCTAAATCAGAGGAAATCGCATCTACATTTATCACTGTTCTCCCCAGGACTTTTTCTCAACTGTGTCTTACAATCTTACCTCGATTTAGCGAGGATAAAATTGTTGTTCCTAAGCTGGGAAGACCACAGCATATCATAAACTTCTTTGGTGGGTTGGAATTACATACAGGGTGTTTCATATGTATATATGTAGTATTAATACTACTACAGTACATATCATGTTGTATTACATACCTAGCGAAGCATTTGTATGGAAGTCAATGGGAAAGTTAGCGAGCTATATCCACCGATATTGCCCGATTACCCCGATATAGCCCGCTTACCTCGTTTTGATATTAGATTTCTTTAATAACCATGATAATATCATGACGTCACGTCATTGATACAAAGTAACCATGGGAACAAAGGCATGTAATACATCAGTTATGTCACTATGACGTGAAATATGCCTTCGTTCTTGCCCAAATATAGAGCCTCCCAAGGTCGGCCTATATTGGGAGAACTCAGGCATATTTCACGTCATAGTGACATAACCTCTAAATATACCATTTTGTTCAGTTTGAAAAGTTACACTACCTTTATATACAAGTAGAATTTCATGATAATGTTGCTCTCATCAAGTTTAGAGGGGGGGGGGGTGCATATATATAAAACACCCTGTATATGTGGTTCTTTATCTGTAAGTATCTTCATTTCAAACTGTCATTTACCTTAAACTAAGAAATTGAACCATTGAATAATTGAAAAGCCAATTTGAATATGATACTGAGCTGCAATATTTAGATTGTAGAACTGTGCAAGAAACTATAATGCAAGTGCTTAACCAGGTAAAATTTGTGTGTTTTCAGCCTGCATCTAGTATCTTACAGACTACAATTAATTGGAAATGGGAAATACATTGTAGTATTGATATGCACTGTACTGATCCCATTCAATACAATGAATATACACGAGGTCTGATTATGCACAAGGAAATTACAAATTTTGATTTTCAGTTTCGACATAAGAGTTAATTTTTCCTTTCATTTTTTTTATTTTTATTTTGACTACGATTTCAGGGCTAAGGTTATGAGAAAGGAAAAAGTGCATGTTTCTGATAATGTATTCTAACTGAAATCATATTCATGGCTTGACTTAACAGTGCCTTATCTGAACATTATTTTCACACATAAATTATCTACAGATGGCTGTCTGCTTACATACTTGGATGCAATAATACATTTGAATCCATGTTGTTGAAAATCTGAACTACATCAAATAAACCTATTTTAAGTTTAACTCCTATTCAAAACTAGATTGGTTTATTGAGACTTCATATGTCACCCCAGAGGTAGAGTATTTCCCAAACAAACACACAGGAACTGTACCCATAATTCAATGGAACAGTAGTATCAACTGTACTGGGAGACAGTACAGGGAGGTACATTAAAATATTCTGGTTTTGATCTGCTTTCCATTATTTATAAACCGAGTCTTGTATTTCTGAACATTTACTGACTGCAAAATATCCATAAATAAATCTGATTAAAATAAAATAATCGCCTAAAACTGTACATGACCATTTTCCCTAACTGTCCAATCAAAATCATCCAAATTGGAAGGAAAATCCCCCTGGGAATCCACCTCCGCCTCCCCCTCCTCCACTGTGGAACCCTGGGCCACCGCCAAATGAGAAGTGGTTTCCACCGCCTCCACCGCCGAAGAATGATTGGAAAATTAAATTGGGATCAATATCCGCTGAAAGTAAGAAAAAACACACTTGTATTTTATTAATATTTGGACATGTTTATTAAGAAATGATGATACACAAAATTTGGACACGTTTATTAAGAAATGATGATACACAAAAGGTAATAAAAAAATCTTTACAAAGAATCTTGTGTCAGGAACATTGAAATAAACTGAATTAGCCATTCTGCAGTTTACATTAGCTATTCTGCAACATATACATTGATTTGAAAAAGTCTTTCCACTTTCAAGCACATGTTCTTACATATTTGTTAAAAATAATTTCTTCATGAGATTTTTCACTACTTACCTCCAAAGCCTCCTTCCATCTCTTCTAAGTCTTGTCCACTGTCGTATCTCGCCTTCTTCTTGGGATCACTTAGTATACTATATGCTTCACCAAGTTCCTTGAACTTTTTCTCTTCTTCTTTTTGGACCTCGGGGGTATCATGCGAGTGTCGATCTAAAATTCAATTGGATCTATTTTTTCACTAAGATCAGTATTTAATCCAGTACCAGCAGATAACATGCATCCATTACTACAACTATGAGAAACTAGGGCAGAATTGATAACAAACTAGAAAAACAGCAACTCCACGGAGTAGCAAATCCCACCAAACAGCCACCTTGAAAATTTCTTCTCAAGCAGAGCTCCTTTATCTATAGGCATCAGTATATAAAATTTGAAGTAAATCCGTCCAATGGTATTTGAGTTATCAAAGATTACCTTTTTTATGAAAAATGGCAGCCATTTTGAAATTCAGCTGACCCCTTTGAAATTTCTTCTGAAGCAGATCTCCTATTTCCCTAAACATCAGGATATAAAATTGGAACCAAATCTATTCACTGGTATTTTAGTTATCAATGATTATGTTTTTTTAACGAAAAATGGCGGCCATTTTGAAATTTAGCTGCCATCTTGAAAATCCCTTTTCGAACAGAGCTCCTATGTCCCTAGGCATCAGCATGTAAAATTTGAACCAAATCCATTCAACAGTATTTGAGTTATCAAAGATAACATTTTTTACAAAAAATGGCCACCATTTTGAAATATGGTTGCCATCTTGAAAATGTCTTCTTGAGCAAGGTTCCTTTGTACCCAGGCAACAGCATATAAAATTTGATCCAAATCTATTCAATGGTATTTGAGTTATCAAAGATAACGTTTTTTTACGAAAAATGGCCGCCATTTTGAAATATGGCGGCCATCTTGAAAATGTCTTCTTTAGCAGGGCTCCTTTGTACCCGAACAACAGCATATAAAATTTGAACCAAATCCATCCACTAGTATTTGAGTAATCAAAGATTATATTTTTTCCGAAAAATGGCCGCCATTTTGAATTTAGCAGCCATATTAAAAATTCCTTCTCGAGCAGAGGTCCTACATCCATAAGGCATAAGCCTATAAAATTTGAATGAAATCCGTTAACCGGTATTTGAGTTATTGCCCGGACACACGAACGGACGGACGGACGAACGGACGGACGAACGGACGGACGGCTTTTCTATATCCCCCTCGAACTTCGTTCGGTGGGATAATAACTTTTGGTCAATAGAATTGATTTTTGATTCCATTTGGTATTGTCCTGTACACTTCCAGATTGTGTTCATAAATAAAGGTTTATTCAATCTAGTTTTTAGAGAAAGGGCGGTGTGTGAATGTGTAATAATGTGAAATAAACTTGACATTATTATCAGATAAAATAGGAAAATAGGAAAAGAAAAAGTGAGAAAGAAATGGAAACTGGTCTGGTATCCAATAGGTTTGTATTTTCACTTCAAGAGGTGTCAAAGAAGCCTACATCCAAGTAGGAAAATCTTAATTTTAATCATTAGCAGTGATCTCCCCAGCATCAAAAGCAAGTGGGTGCAGCACCCACATGAGATTTTGAAAATAGGCTTGCAACCACCCGAAAATCCATTTGCACCCACTTGAAAATGAGGAAAATTATGAAAAATGGGCATATTTTGACCAATTTTGGTCTGAATTGTGAAAATGAGGATATTGCACCGACTTGAGAAAAATATCCTTTGGAGATCACTGCTTAGTATTAAATGTCTAGTCCAAGTGATTTCATATTTGATATCAAAATACAAAATAACATCTACAAATGAAATGAAAACTTTTTGAAAGAGTGATTTCTAGGCAGGGGAGATTCCCCATAGCCTGTGATATAAAATCATGAAAATTGCTTTACTTGTACAGATACTAAAGGACGATTCTCGGTTTGGAGAACAGTCTCCTGGGCTAATAATTTTTTTCATGAAAAATATAGAAATATTACCCAAATTAAACTATGAATATTCAAAAGAGGACATTTAAATCCACAAGATGTAAAAATAACAAATTGGTCTGAAGCAGGGATAATGCTCAATTAGACCGATTCAATAAAATACAAGTCTCGATTTGGGGAAAGAAGTTCATCAGTGTACTGCGCTAATATTTTTTTGCAAAAAATCTGGAAATATTACCCAAATTAAATTATGACTATTCAAAAGAAGACATTCAAATCTACATTATGTGAAAAAATCAAATTTGTCCGAAGCAGGGATAATGCTCATTTAGATTGATGAACTTCGTTCTCCAAACCGAGAATCGTCCTTTATTTACTGAACTATATTTTAGATTGTATAATTATCAAACTCAAGGGTTAAATGAAAATTGATTCACTAAATCTATTTCAAGTTTAGATGAATCTTTTGAATACCTGCCATGTTATCTGACACAATCTGGTGGTGAAACTGATAACTACTTGCTAACACCTTGAGAGGTTATGTCATCAGTTAAAACCAAAGGGGTGGGAGAACACTATACAGAGATTGAAAAGGAATCTAAGTCATATAATTGAGAGATGGGATGTGTAATACTTGCATTTTCAGATTAAATCTGAGTGATAAGATTGGTCTAGCTATAAGCCCCTGTGAACCCCGTCCCACGACTTGACTACACAGGTACGGGTGTGTATTGGGGGGAGGGGGGCACAAAGGCTTGTAGCTTGTATTAACCAACATACCTGGATGGTGTATAAGCGCCCTCTTTTTATAAGCTTTTTTGATATCAGAGTCTGCAACATTTTTGTTTATTCCTAATATTTTATAATAGTCTTTTCGTTTACTTTTCTTGAGTTCAAGCTTTGCATCTTGCAAGCATTTTTTATTTTCTGAAAAATAAAATGCAGTATTTTAATTAAAATGTAAATGCACTGATAACAACTTAACAACTATACATGTATGTGACATTTTCAGATAAAATTATGTAAAGATCTAAATATTGCACATCCTTTGACACATAAAATAATTAATTTTCTGCACTATATTTGGCATGATAAGTCTTAATGCTAAGACTTGATGGCTGTATAAGGTTAAACAAGGCATTCAAATGTAAAAGGTCACCACCTGCCATTTCTTAGACACTGAACACCTTCCATAAAAAATTTGGAGACTATAACAATATGTGGAGGTGACATAAAAAATAGACATCAAAATACATTGAGCCTTCATCTGTAATGTTAACAGAATCAATTTTTGCAAATTATTGAGAAATTATCATAATAACGTCACATACTGCTCAGGTCGATATAGTAAAATAAATGCTTTCTAAACTTCCACTAATACCCCTAGAGCAGGCCCGCCACTATGACGTCACATATTGCTCAGGTCGATATAGTAAAATAAATGCTTTCTAAACTAGCACTAATACCCCTAGAACAGGCCTGGCAAGGTGGTATTTATACATATAAATGTACCTGAACAAAAATATTGTTGACCTACCTCTACTTTTATCTAGTTTGTATATTTTTTCATAGTCCCTGACTGCTTCTTCATATTGTTCACTGTCTAGATAACTGAAACACATGACAATTACATTTAATAGATGTAACTAAAGATGCTTGTCGATTTGGAATGAATATGACCAACTAAAAAATATATATCTATCAAATCACAAGATCTTGATTGTTCTAAGGCTTGAGATAAGTGTATTCAAAGTGTATTCTGGCAAAAAAGAAAATGACAACTTCATTCATAATGTGGTTACCCTTTGTGGTTTCTGGTCAAATAAAACACTGTCTAATATCTTACCATGTGTTATTTCAATATGAGTAAAACACTAGACGGGGAGCATCGATCAATGCGGTTACAACGCAAGAAAATAACACGCTATGTTTCTAAGTGTGACTAAGACATGATTGACCATTCATGATCGAAAATACCTCGATAAGATCATGTACGTTTTAATCCATTCATGCTCTAATATCTTCCCATTGTATTATTCAAATATAGGCTATTACCATTTTGCTCGCCTCATGTAGGCTTTAAGGTAGTTATCATCCAGTTCTATTGCTTTGTCACAGTCTTCTATGGCTTGTTCTGTTTTTCCCAGCTAAAAGAGGCAAGCGATGAGTTTATATTGTTTTTAGGGCCTTGGTCATACAGAAAATATTGATCATGAAACCAATTTGAAAGCTCAAACTTCCTCCTCTGTTTCTGAAACCTTTTCTTCAAACAATGAGGTCAAATTATCAAACAATTACAATAAAATAATAATAAATAAAATAAAAAAACACAATCTATTTTACTTTTCCATGTGTAATTTTTAGAAAGATCACTCTATTTTGAGAGAGGCTGCCACATAGTGGTTATTTTTGACAGTGATCAATGTTATTCTAAATGTTATTCTAAAGTTATTCTAAAGAATTTGAATTAGCATTTTTTCTCAAGGACGTCCAAAATCATATTTTACAAATTATATCCAAAAAAGTTTTCATAATTTTTCTCATTTTCAAATGGGTGCAAATGGGGTTTCAAGTGGGTGCAAGCCTATTTCCAAAATCGCAAGTAGGTGCATGCACCCACTTGCTTCAATACTGGGGATAGCATTGTGTCCTAATTACCTTAGCACAGACTGTTGCCCGATTGTTGTAGAGTTTGGAGTTGGTGAATTTGTTATCTGGGTCAATAGCCAGGGCTTCTGTATATAATAAATAAGCCGTTTCTAGTTTGTTAGCTTTGTATGCTGTGTTTCCTTCCTCTTTCTTGGCAAGCAAACTTTTAGCTTTCTGCAAGAGTAAATATGATAGACATGTATTAGTTGCTCAAGAAGAACTTTAAGGTGGAGCACCATTAGTTTGGTGCTCCACCAAAGAAATGTTCCACTTGAAAAGGTTCCACTTCTGGTGGTGACATAAAGATCATATATACCATATGCATCCAGTATACTTTTTTGCAATTTCATTTACCTTAACTTTAATTTAACCTTTTATCATTTATTAGTTTTTTATTATACTGATATCATTGTGACAAATGCTGATTTTAAATTCAAGTGGAAGACAAATCAACACTTTTGAAATGTTGTAATAATGGGGGGAGGGGGGATTTTAACCATAATGAAATCAATTCAATTCTTCACAACATTTGGATATCACTCCCTCATATAAACAACTTATCAGTGATTAGCAGGTACATGTATTTTGTTGGATGTTTTACGTTCTAGTTATTGAGTTATTACATTATGAAAAACATTTCTGGCAAGTAATAAGGCCAAAAGTTATTTATATCCATACAATTTTACAATATAGTACAGCCATGAAAAAGCAAGATGTGCCAAAATATCCTACAAATAATGAATGTATGTATATATAATGGTTGTTTACGCTGCCCAGGAGTTGTTTACGCTATCCAGGAGTTGTATATCGTTCTCAAGAGTTGTATATGATGAGTGTTGGTTTTATACTTCAGTTATACAATGCTATGATACAATCATATAAAGCACTTAAGGTGGGATAATTTGTATTATATAAGTAATGCCAATGCTTTTTTACTTATTTTCCCAAATCAATTGATTTCAAAAAAGGAACATTGGAGAGTGATATTGATTGAATAAAATAGTTACCTTGTATATTTGTTTTGCGGGTGCGTGGTCTGGGGCTAAGCGGAGGACCTGCTGGAAGTGTTGGAAGGCTTTATCCACACTGTCTTGGTAATACAGACACATTCCTCTAACATAAACTGCATCGGGATTCATACGGTCACTTTGAACAATCTCACTGAAATGTTCAATGAAACTCAACAGATAATCGTTTGATATACAGTAAAACCTGTCTAATCTGAAAGCTCCTGGGATGGATCAAAAAGTGTTCAGATTAGCAGGTGTTCACATTTCAAGGTGTCTCTAAAATGAGGTGGGAGGTTTAAAAAATGGAAAATTGGGACAGAGAGTGTTCATACTGAGAGGTGATTGGACAGCAGATGTGTTCAGATATACAGGTTTTACTGTACATATATTTATAACAGGATGAGGAACCCTACTCTAAAAGTACATTTGTCAAAATAACCTGCAATGATATTTGATTTCACACACAGCAATTCTGAAACTAACCAGTTGTACAATCAATATTCATCACTAATTTCATAATTCACAGAAATTGATAATGGTATATCTTAGCAGTGATCATACCAGTTTTTTTTCTTAACAGGGCTTAGTTTTGTTAAAATGTAGATTTCTTATGAAAAATGAAGAAGTGAATGTTAACAGACTTACTTTGCCAATTCTTGAGCCTCTTGGTATCGTCCTAAAAGGGCAAGCGACTCCGCCTTCATGATCTTGAACTTGTGACATGCCGAGGAGTGCTCTAAACAACGGTCCATACAGAATATTACCTACAAACAACCACAATATAAAATAAGCAAATTATAAAAATTATGGGTTGATTGTTCTTAATAATCTTAATTTTTTAAATGCCATTAAGGTTTTCAAACATGAATTATTAAAACAAGTTCACAGCTTTTTTCTTACAAAAAAATAAAAAATTATGAAGTTTTGGAACATATGCTTAATATCTATTCAACCATTCATTCTTATTTTTTCATTTATCCATTTTACAACCAAAGTTTATTAATACGAGTATATTGTTATATTTTTTACGACACATCAAATACTGTTTAAAATGTATTACCCTTCTGAAGTCCCGTTTTGTGTAATCTTTTTCAGCTTCCTCTGTAAGTCGAGCTACAGTCTCAGCACATAGTAGCTGAAAATGCAAAAAATGATTAACTTAGCCCATGTTGGATGATGTGCCAAACAGCCTTTATTTGTATTGTTCATTCAACAACAAACATGATTCAAAAACTTATGCAAAATTCTGTTATTTGTATTAACCGTAATTGAACCCGTTCAACTCATTATGTTCTTCTGCAGGTATTTCTGATATAGATGAAATGGTTGGAACAAAAATTCAATATTTTCTCATTGATGTCCAAACTGGTTCCAATGTTCTTCAAACCTTACCTTAAACTATGAAGTTACTCGTTGAAGTTTCTTTGAATTGTTTAATTGACCCATCCATGTATGACTCAGCCCCTGAACAGTATAATAATAAGCTTAAATATTTTCATAAACTCAATTCTTACTTCTGTTTTTGCAGTTTTATTTTTTGGTTCAAGTTGTAAAGCTGCCTGGTATGACCTGATGGATGCGGCAGCCTCCCCGAGCAGTAGATGACATTTGCCTTCTCGTAAATGACCCTGAAGTAACACAAGCAATATATGACATAATTTGTGAATTTGAAAGTCCAGGCAATGTATGACATAATTTTTGTTTCTTTAGATGAATACAAGCAACAATATGTATTTGATACTTAATAGACCCTAAAGTAACGTAAAATATGAAACACAATTTACCTTTAAGTTATTCTAAGAAGTGAGCCTAATATTAGAGAAGCAATCCAGACAATATAACCTTACATTATATTACATTACCATTTCAAGTAATGACTGCATAGTAACATAATGAGAGATCATTCAAAATTAAACCTTTTTACATTATTTGAATATTTACTGCTAAATGCACTCAGAATGCAAAAGCTGCCATTTCCTTTGAAAACATACATGCTATGGGTAATTTGGTTAAAATATATCAGGGTCGTGATGACATAGGAACTTGAACAAAAATGCACCTACTAATAATAAAATCATCAAAACATTCGAAACTGACTTGCTGGCCAGTTTTTCGAAATTCGCCATTTTGACCAATCATATTGGAGCATTCTGAACTGGACCCACTTTTTGCTAGACACCCCAGATTACGTTACTGAACTTAAAAAGAATACAATACAAACTGATTTAGGTTTGCCCAAATCAAACTGCATACATACTTAGTGAAAAACTGCAGCTTATGCAATACAGGTGCCCAAAAGACCACATGTTGTCTAATAATCACAAACCTTATGCTTATTATCTCAGTGATTCTCCCTATTTGACTTTTTTCCAGGTAGCTAATAAATTTGTAAACAGTTTTTAGCATATTACCCTAATAATTCAAGCATGATGTTTACCTTTATCAGTGGATTTTTAAGACAACATAATGAAACCTAATTTCCAAACTGTATTGACCATGTTGGAGCTCATACATATTTATTAGTTATACACAAGACTCTCCTGTACGTCTATTGTTTTCTGATATTACATTCACAGCAACATCTTTTGTACCATTCATATCATATATCTGAATCATTACTTTACTGCATCACTTCCTTTTTTACGAAAAAAAGCCAGCAAATTTGAGTCACCATTTTCGAACATTTCTTCTTGAGCAGAGGTGGTTTTCCCCAAAAACATGAGTCTTTAAAATCTGCACAAAATCCAATGACCAGTATTTCTTTCAGTTACCAAGAATAGCAATTTTTCCATTTTGAAAATTCCTTTTTGAACAAATATTCCATGAACTTTTAAGCATCAGCCCATAAAATTTAAAATAAATTCGACAACCATTAGCTCAGTAAAGGTTATGTAAACAGAACTTCAACTGGGCAGCCATTTTGGAAATTCCTTCTCGAGCAGAGATCCTATGCCCACAAAGTATCAGCATATGAAATTTGATCCAAATCTGTCAACCTCTACTCAGACAGATGGACATATGAGCAAATGGATAGCTTCTCTATATCTCAGCTTGTACTTCTTTCAGTGGGATAATCACACATGTAACAAAGCATATGTACTGAGTATCAGAATGTATAAATCAAGCTCCAAATTTGGTTCACACAATCACTGACATGTTAACTGCATCAATTTTATATATATAATGGTACCTTGACGAATTTACTATCTAATACTAGTGCACGTCTAGCATCACTTAGAGCATCTTTGTATCTGTATAACATGATTTGTGTAGCCGCTCTGTTACCCCAGTAAGCTGCACAATTTGGACATAGGTCTATAAAATATATAAATAATGCACTCATTCATGATGTATCACAGTACAAAATCTAATTCACTTTTACAAATTTGCCACTTTAATATAACTTTATTTTTATCACTATTCAATTTAATTCTGAAGTAAGACTTTAATACTTCATAGTTTGTTCTTGTATGTGCTGGTTTTAGCATCTCAAAAGATACCACCTACCATGTCTTATTATGGAAACCATAGATATCATTACCGATAAATTGAATTGATGTTCAGATAAAGGCATAAGTCAAGTACCGCAATGTAACAATGATGAATATAATAATCTGGTTTTATACCTATCGCTTGTGTATAGAGGTCTTTCGCTTTGTGGTATTCTTTTTGTTTGTAAAATGCATTGCCTTGCTCTTTTTTGGCTTCAGCTTCTCTGAAATAAAAAATGAAACATAAAAACACAAGCATAGAAGGAATATGCCGACTATAATGTTGTAATTGAAGTTTTAAAAGTCTTAAAGTCTGTATATCTCTTTCTAGATTGTGAGTTCATATCTCCATCTACATAGGTTGTTATTTATTGTTTTTTTGCAAGTACAGCTTCCTGCCCTCTGCAAAGGAGACCATTTTGGTGTTATGCGATACAATGCACTAAACTGCAATATGTTACCACTTGCCATTTGTTACAGATGCCAAATCCCAAACTAGTGGTGTAACGAGTGACTCGGGTAATCGACTAGAACGCGAATGAGCCTAGAAAAATGATCAATCTATCGAAAATTTGAAAATCGTGATCCTGAAAATTTCTGTGAAAAATCGCAATTTACCCTCCATACTCATAAGCAAGGATTGTAGCTGCGTTTACGTTTTTCAAATAAATTACATATTTCTGACTATATTCTGCAGATTGTTTTGTTGATTTAATGGTCAGTTGATGAGAAAAAGTATGAGAATTGTATTCATTGCTTTTTATGTTTACATTATGGTACATCGCATGCGCATATGTATTTTGACGGAAGTGGGAATTTCAAAGTCGAAAAACTCCATAAAAGGCTTATATCATTGCTAATATACGGTAAATGTGCGTCTAAAACATCCAAAACGGAAGTCAATCCGTTCAGAACGACATCATTGAGTGGTCATTAAACCAAAAGTCGATGTAAGTAGTGACAAATTCCTTGATTTTCCAGGTTCTAATTTTCTCGATTTTTTAAAAAAATAATCGCCAAAATCGTCTACTCGATCGTCAAATTTATCTTTCTTCTCGAGTAGAGATTTTGGTGGCGAGTCCCACCACTATCCCAAACAGATTTGTCAGTCATACAAGCCCGAGATATGGTTCGTTTTGGTAACAAAATGTCGGAACATTGAAGGTACGTTTGACGCGTTGTAGGCAGAATCCCCACGATGTTTTTTCTCTCAAATGTGTATCGGTATCATTTGTTTTAGAAAAAGTTATGTTTGCGAAAAAATAGCTCAGAAGACAACAAAATCGTCGATTTAATTCCTCACTTAAGTTACATAAACGATTTGGGTTGAAAGTGCAGATATTAACTGTTTAAAGAATCTTTGTTTTACAGGAACATTTTTAAAGATTTTAACATGTGCAAAGATAAAAAGAAAATTGATAATAACTGCATTTTTAATGAAGTGCTTTGTGTTTGGCTTAACTTTAACTTTAAATGGAAAGACAAGGTCATTATTTTTAAAAACTGGGTAAAAGTAGGCTTCATATATGTGAAAGATTTCTTTGATGAAAATGGAAATATTTTATCAGAACAATATGTATTTAACCGTCTTAAAGACAAAAAATTGGTTTTATGAATATTCAGTCATTCGAAATATAATGAGAAGTATAACAAATACTGTTGATACACTGTATGCAAACTTTACAAATATACAATATAAATATAACATCCTTGCTAACAATAAGTACCATTATATAATTAACAAAAAGTCAAAGTTCTTTTATAATATTTTAATTAACAAAATAAGAAAACGAAATTATACTGAAGCTTTTTGGAGTAGGCAATTCAAAACACCTAGTGATTGTGAATTTTATAAAGATAATCAGAAGATTTTGAAAATGCCATGTAAATATTTAGCAGAACTGAATTTTAAAATTGTAAATAATTGTCTTCCTTGTGGTTATATTGTTAATAAATGGAACAGACAAGTTATTTCAAAATGTGTACATTGTAATAAAAATCACACCATGGAACATATGCTGTATGAGTGCAAGAAATCTGTCGACATATGGAATACTATAGGAACCAGTTTAAATTTGAACATAAAATGGAAACATATTGTTTTAGGATTTAGTGAAAATAATTATGTATCTGTAATAAAAAATTTAATCATAGCAATTACTGCAAAAACAATCCATTCCGAATGGTAAAAAAACTATGAAGATGAACAATCACTTTTAAATTGTAATTTACAGTTAAAAGTTAAATCAAGTATCATATTTTATAAAAGATTATTGGATCATATGTCAACAGGTATTTTTTAACCATGCAATCGTTAATATTATTTCAAAACTAAATACTTGATATGTTTTGTAAATATGTTTGTTTTGTTTTTCGAAAAACCGTTTATGTCACTTAAGTGAAGAATTAAATCAACGATTCTGTTGTTTTCTGAACTATTTGTTCGCACATATGTGCATTTTCTTAAACATTGGATACTGATACACGTTTGTGTTAAAAAATGTCGTGGGAATTCTGCCTACAACGTGTGAAATAAGGAAAAGAGAAAAATCGTACCTTCGACGTTTCGACATTTTGTTACCAAAACGAACCATTTCGGTAACCAGCGTAATCGAGTGGATCACCAGTGATTAGACTATATAACACACATATAAAAAAGTAGCCGGATCATTACATATTGAAGCGTAATATTACATTTAAAACACTTCTGGTTGTTTATTAACAATTTTGTAGATTCAAGCTACCAAACTTGGTCTGTTCATCCTAAGAAGATAGATGGTGCTGACTCAGTGACTGTGTGATTGGCAATTTTAGGTCTTTTTCAGACTAAAGTCCACAGAAACACAAGTCATCACAAAATTGTCAAAATGAACCTTTTAAAAAATTTGAAAAGATTATCACATCAATATCACATAGTTCTTGATAATAATGATGTAAACGGTGAAAAATGAAACTTCCAGAATGTTCCAAAACATGTTTCATTTTCAAAATGAAAATCCAGATTGAAAAATTGATTTATTCCCCTTTTTGAATGTAAACTGATTCAAATCGGATGTAAATTGCAACGGGAAAGAGATTGACTTCTACACAATATTATGAGAATGTTTACTCAACTGTTCAGGTGTTAACTGTTCCTCTTCTTCGTCTGAAGACATGATTTCCATTTCTTCTTCCGCCGCCATACCTTATTTAAGTGTCGATAGATGGCGACCGTGCAAATCAATGGACGACAAGATTCATCTTTTATTTTCTCTTCCTTTTACATGGATTTCTCGCTTCGTCAGAGAAAAGAAGCAAAAACAGTAATTCATTTTGATACAATATAATATTTTGTGCCAGAAAAACTATTGTATGTCACGAAAACTCAGTTGTATAGAAAATTCATATTTTGAATTTCGCGGCATTTGTGCCTCGTTTTGAAATCGTAACCTGGCTTAGCAACATAACAACAGTGAGGACAGGTGCTCTGAAATCTTGGAGTAGAATTTCTAATATATTTGGCATAAATGTGAGTAAAATACCTTAAATGTATTCGTTATTAAGCAATTGTTAATTGTTCTATATGTTAAAAGAGTACTATTGCCCGAAACATGTGTGGTTATTGAAATATCTATGTGTTTAACAGTGACAATTTTTTAAATCATCATTTTTGCAAAGATGAATCAACATGTTATGTTCTCTTCTATATTGGAATTGGGCCATTTAGGTAGATCAATATTTTATTGCAAATGCAGAATCTTATTTTGATCATTCAAAAAATCATGACATTGGCTCGCTTGACCGACTTGACTCATCCCCGGGGATTCAATATTTGGCTTGACTTGCAAACTCTGTCAGTCTGAGAATCTAACCTAATGACCAGCTTGTGTTTACTTTATTTTATAGATACAGCGATCAAAATGGGAGGATGTTTAGCAAGGGCTACACATTGGACCTCCGCCACTGGAGGAGGAGGAAAGATGAAACTGGAATACAACTCAAAAAATCAGTCAATCCTAAATAACATAATCCAGTTCATGGAAGGATTCACTGCTAGTCATCCAGAAGAAGCTAAACTTGTGTTTAAATCAGCAATGAAATGGACGACAGAATTAACACTGGATGATTTCACCTCAGGATATGAAGAAAAGTATGTATAATATATATTTACAATGCCCCAATCTGAAACAAATGTTTTTAAAGTCTATATTTCTTAGAATACATTGAAGTGAATCAAGTGTAATTATCAAGACAAAATATTGATGGACAGTGTACACGTACTTCTGCATTGAGCTCATCCTCTGCGTTACCATCCTCCCAATGCAGGACTCCAGACATCATCCACTATGTTCCTTTCTTCTTCTGGAGGCCTGTGTTTGGAGGATGCTGCATTATATTAAGAGGATTTGACTCCATTTCTAATATGTCCAGATTCAAAAACCGTTCAATTTTTGTTTTCAATTTTAAAATCTGGTAGAAGACCGGTAGTTTGATATAAATATGAACATACCAATATCAACACACCCTTATGTCACAATCAAACAAGATGTAATGACATAGTTATGGCCTCCATTTGTTTGTGCAGGACAATCAGCTGTTGGTGTTTGGTATCTGTAACACTTGTTACACTTAAATATTTGTAGTAACATATCCAGTGGTAAAATTTTATAATGTTATTGGCATGTATTTTATTTTTCCCCAGGAGTGGAAATGACAAAGTTTCAACAGAAACAAGCAAAGATGGTAACCCTCTGTTGACGATACGTCGCACTGATGATGGCTGCGAGATAAGTGTCTACACAATGGAACAACTGGAGAATGTTCTGAATATAGCTGGAGACAATAAACTTAGAGAATGTAGAGCGTGCTTAGAAGGTAAACATTTTCAATTGCAGCAGGCAAGAGATTGTTTTTATGTCGCAACCACCAGTGGTGACATCTTGTAATTTGTCATGGTCTCCAACTTTTTTGTGATGCCAGTTGATGTTCAGTGTTTGGTATTCAAAGTTTAGTGTTTTTAACAAATGGCATGTGGTGACATTTTGCATGTTAATGCTTTGTTACCTTTTGTTTTTAGAAATGTTTGTTTTTGTTTTTAGAAATGCTGTCTGTAACAAATGGCAGGTGGTGATTTTTTGGATGTTAATGCCTCCTTTATAAAATTGTTAAGATGAGCAAAAATGATAGACTAAACATTTATGAGGAGAGGAATTCAAACCACGATGTCCAATCTTTTTCTGGATAATGAAAGGGATTTTAACTATGTATGGTATGAATTTATTTTCAAAAATTTCTTATTCTAGCCAACCGTGATCCTCCAAAGACTATGTTGGGTGATCGATTTGCGACTGTTGATGGCGATGACAACTCTACCAAAAGATACATGGAGGAGATCATTGGAAACAAGCCTAAAGATGATGACGACAATGAGGATGCCAAGGAGGAATATGAACAAAAGATGTGTGGACTCAAACTGCTCATGATTATGCAACGCTTTGATGAGAAGTTAATGTCTGAAACTCTGAAAGAAATCATAAAGTAAGTTCAATTTTTTTTTGATAATCATTGAAATTATTGAATATTAAAAAAGGTAAGTTGAACAAAAAGAAATAGTTAAAGATACATATGTCGAGGTGATTCTAGAAATGTGAGTTCTATTATTAAACATGAGTATAAGATTGACAAATACAAAAGAAAAGTCATTTTTCAGGATGCTATATTCATACAAGCTCTCACAAGGAAATATTTATTGTGTGAGGGAAACATTTCTAGCATGCCCGTACAAGTGATAAATCATATTCATGTTATATTTCATCCTTTACCATGTTATTATTGTGTATTCAGTCAAGTTTAGAGTGTGGATACAATCATGATTTGCCAATAGGTTGTGGTGGGAGCTAAATAGAGTGTGGTGCTGCGCCACATTCTAAAAGCCTAGTGAGAGCCCTGCATACTTTTCATGATAAACTGAATTAATTTTGCCCATTATTGCAGTGATGTGCGTCTCACTCCTGAAGTGGTTGAGAGAGAGGTTGGGCAGATCCAGAGATTCCAAGGAGTAGATGAAGAAAATACTGCATTGGAACAAATAGATTATCTAGAATGTAAGTTAAATACTCTGTGTTAGATTTAAGACATTCTAGATGTTTTCATTCCGTGGACTTAACATGCCAGGAGCTAAGGGAGCCAAAAGTTTCCCTATAAGGCAATATCTGACTAAGGACCAGTTTCAGTTATTAAATGTGATACGATTACACCTGACCTAATATATTTATTTCCAGCACTTAAATTCAAGTTCAGCAATGGATGTCGGGCCCCACCCTGGCGTCAGGTTCATGGTGACATCTGTTATCTTGATGTCAGACCACATGACACCGACTACTTCTGTGTCACAGCATCAGCCAGTGGTTACTATGTGAACAAGGTAAGAATAATTTACAGTAATAGGCATCTCAATTTAGTCTTACATTAAGACCCTGATTGAACAAGAGAGAAGAAGGATATGTGGTACAAGGCATAGATGCAAGACTTTCCAGTCTAAACATATACCTTTATAACTTTTACAACTTTATAAGAACAAGCAAATAGCAGAATGTTTCAATTTAGCTCATTAGGCCTGGTCATATGCATTATCTACTTGTGAAGTAATACAGATTGTTAACTAAAATGTTTCCATGGTGATGCTTTTAGGGTATGGATAAGGAGAAGAATGAGTTGAACTTTAACAGGGATGGAGATGACGTCTTCAGGGACCTTGTAACAATCATCAAATCAAAGTCACCAAAGTTTGCAGAAATGATGGAGAAAGAGGTACACACAGTTTTAATTCTTTACTTTTTACTCAGTTTGCAAATTTAATATGTAATAAATATATAACTGAATTTGACTTTCCTTGTTGAATTGTTTGTTTTATATAGGGTAGCTTTGTTGTTGTCAGTTACTAAGCAACTGAAAAGAGTGTCACGCTGTTTTAACCAGTTATGACATCACAATTGAAAAAATTCAAGAAATTTTATAAGGTTGCTAGGTGATAAAGCTACACATTGCTGAAGTTGTGATGTCACAAACCAAATTTGTTTATTCCAGGTAACCAAGCAACAAAAGTATTCATCATATCAGATTTCCTCTATGACATCATAAACACATCAAATCATTGTTTACTATTTCAAAATCACTTGGAAACAAAACAATCACATTAAAATCATCCACTTTCAGGACTTCCAACCTATTGAACAAGAGAGGGACAATAATATCGACTTTGAGAGTGAACAGAGAGAGGAACAGAAGATGGACACACTAAATGAGAGCAAGAACAAGAAACAACAACAGGAGAACGACAGAAAAGAGAAAGATAAGAAGAAACAAAGTGAAAAGAAGAAGAAACTTGAACCATCTTTAAAATGGAAGAATTTGGGCATGGAAGATTATATTGAAGAAGAGTAAGTGATCACAAATTTTAACAATAAACATATGATCTGGTTAGGCAAAAAAAGGAGGTTAGAGGTTAATATTATATGTGACAGTGCTTCAGTGGGGTGGGTTGAAACATTTGAGTCAATGTTTAATGGTGGATTGGAAGTCAGGCAGTATGCCAGAGGCTGTGTTTATCATTTATAATCTTTAATTTGATAATTTCTAATTTGAATTTAAGTTTCATATGGACAACTGCTCACATGGTAATATGTTCATATGCCCCTCCATCTGATAACAACATTTGGTTTAAAATGGAAATTATTTAATTTGGCTTTTTCTTTCAACAGAGAAGATGGAACTCAAAAGAGGAAAACTGGCCCAAGACGTTCACCCAAGAAATCATCACGTGGGAAATCAAGTAAAACCCCCATAGAAGCAGAAGATTCATTTAGTGAGAGCTCTTCAGAATCGGAGGAGGAAGAGGAAGCTCCTGATCGTCGGAATGAGGCCAACTCAGATCTTCCATCAGAATATTGGCAAATACAAAAGCTTGTCAAGTACCTCAAGGTATGTTTGAATGACAGTGCAAAGATATGCTTAATCAGGTAGTTAAAACAAGGGAACATGAAAGTAGCATTTTTGAACAATGTACAGTGAAACCTGTGTAACTGGATCACCTTTAACAAGTGTTCCACTTGGGAAGTGTTCCACTTAAATTGGTTCATTTAACAATAAGTCAATAGATTGTGGGACTTTAGAAATGTTTCCACTTATGGAGGTGTACTACGTACATCGTACAGAGGTGTTTCACTTTTCAGATTTTACCGTACTATATTTTACAAAAACAAATATTTACATGAGGAGATTCTGTGTCAAAACTGGTTCTTGAACAGTTACAAAATCAACAATCAACATGTAAATTTGCATGCAAAGTAAAATTAAATAACTGGATTTTCTTGAGTTAATGCCCCTTTATTCTATTGCACATAGTTATTATTCAAAAACACTTTCAAAATAATACCAAGGCCCAAGGGGATCATTTTTGGTACAATCATAAGTTACGATTCTGAGAAAACCATTTTGACAAACAACTGACTTGCAACTAGATCGTAAGTTACAATGGTTCCAAAAACAGACCCCAGTGTGGTCCATTGTTGAAACTTTTCACTGCAGAACTGGTTTTGTAGATACATTACTTATGACCTTATATTGATTACTAATAGGGAGGTAACCAGACTGCCACAATCATTGCACTGTGCTCTATGAGAGACTTCAACCTACAGCAGGAGACATGTCAACTTGCAATACGTGATGTGGGGGGACTTGAGGTCCTCATTAACCTACTGGACACTGAGGATATCAAATGCAAGGTACTTTGCTTTAAAATGATATATTTCTTTTGACTGCATCAAGGCGTTTTACAGAAATCCCGAAATTCAATCTTCTGGAGGACATGTATTTATATACATGTGTTTTGTCAATTCATCAGTTTTATGGAAGAGTTAAATCCCGTAAACAGTATTGATATTATCATTTCTTTATCATCAGAGAACCCTTGTACAGGCCCATTTCAAGTTTATTTCATTATTGCAAATCTTGATCATTTGTAAAATTCATTCAATATTCCTATGTGCCATATTTTAGATTGGTTCTCTCAAGATACTCAAAGAGATCTCAAAGAATACGCAGATCCGTAGAGCTATAGCTGACCTTGGGGGCCTACAGACAATGGTGAAAATCTTGCGTGATCCCAATAAGCAATTGAAATGTCTCGCAGCAGAAACAATAGCAAATGTAGCTAAGTTCAGACGAGCAAGACGCACAGTCCGACAACATGGAGGAATAAAGAAATTGGTAGGTGCAGCAATGCAGTGCTACATTTCAAGCATTAAAAAGTCGTTTATGTCAAGAATCGAAAAGGAGTGCTTCATCCGCAGGTGTCTTAAACCTCAGTCACATTTGATCTACAGCAACCGTACAACGGCCCTAGCTTCCCAAAATATAGAGATTAGCAGTACGATGTAGATTTTGTGAAGCTATGGCTGCCATTGAACAAATATGACTGAGGCTTTAGAAAAAGTAGCCCATTACTCCTAACGTATTATCTTATTTTCTGGTGGCGATGTTAACCATTACTCACTAATAAGGACACCACTTTTCACACAGAATGTTCAAACTTTGCATTTTCACTCTTTAATAGAATTCTAATTCATTTTATCACATTTCAAATTATAAAATATCAAAAATAATTTATGCTGATAAATAGTAGTTTTAGGTTTATGATTGGTTTATGAAAACACAGATTGAAATCCTGTGCCAAGGGCTGATATGAAAAAGTCAGTCCACCCCAGTGAGGATCGACCTACGACCCATCCTCATTTTTCTACAGGACCAACTGACTTTTCGACATAAACAATTTTTTAGTCTAGAGCATTAATCATGTTTGGTATTGGCAGGTTGAAATAACCAATGAACACATATCATTGGTTCAATCTGAGCCTGAAGCTCCTCCCACCAAAGGTCTGACCTCTACTCGAGGGCACCAAAAGAAGGTATCACATGTGTGCCTAGAAATACAAGCGTTTTGCGTTTATAGAAGTAGACGGAAGTAATATAAATCTGATATTAGTGCTAAATATCATATTTATGAATTGTTTGAGTTTTGTGTTAGACAATTGTACCAATTAACAAATACGTATTTAGATTTATTTTAGGAATTCTTGAAACTAAAAGATTGCTACGTTTGTTTTAATTGAATGTTAGTCTTTTTTATGTAGGTAGGAGATCTTTGAAAACCCATTTTATGGGGCTGAATTCATCAATATAGCAATTTCATTTATATAGGCAAAATAGCCTAGAATTAAATGCCTTATATGGGCATTGGATGAAATGCTAAAGATTAATTCTTAACTTTCCCTGTAGTAAGAAATTAAGAAATATAATGTCCATATTCATTAACATCTCTTTTAGAAGTGTAGTAAGCATATACATGTGCATGTATTGAACATCTCACATATATTTCATTGTCATGATTTATGTTTTTCTTTACAATATCGTTTTTTTATTAAAATGCACATATTTTGATAGAAATGTTTTAAAGAAAAACAAAAGATATCATGATTGAATTGTTTTTGTTTATAATGTAAATAACAGTCCTGAATAAGCTTTTGAATGGCTTGAAAAATAAGTCATCAGCCATACTAATCCATGATTCGATAGGATGATACAAACTGTTCAGAATTCACATACAAAAACAAAAATCATATGTCAGTCAGTACAAAAGTAATATAATCTCCCAGGTGTAATCTTTAAAAAATCCAGAAACTCAACAGACATTACATATCATATCATTCATTTAAGGTTCCTGGATTTCAATTATCAAAACAATGGTGTCATTGTAAAAGAACTGTTAACTCTCAATAAATCTCTGTTCACTGATTTTCAATAAAGGACCTCAAGATTAACAATATCATCACAACTTGATTGCAGATACTAGACACACATCAATATTTGAAAATAAAGGTTCGAAGTGCAACATTTAAAATACCAAACCCCTAAAAACCATGAAAACCAAACCAATACAAATCACAATGAAAAATTGTTTATTTTGTTGTATTTGTTGAATCCAGGTTGGTCTGTTAGATTGTAGCCCTCAGTCTGTGATGGCAAACAACAAAGAACAAGATGTGGAGGTCGCTCGTTGCGGAGCCCTGGCACTGTGGAGCTGCAGCAAAAGTACAAAGAACAAACAGGCAATGAGGAAGGCTGGGGCGATACCTCTCTTGGCTAAACTTCTCAAGTCCACACATGAAGATATGTTGATCCCAGTAGTGGGGACATTGCAGGAGTGTGCATCTGAGGTTAGTATGGGGAAGCTATGTAGTAAGGAAGGCTGGGACAATACCTCTCTTACCTAAACTTGCCCAACACATAAACATGTGTTGAAATGTGCATTAGAAGTTAAGTGCAGCGATACATTTAGATAAGGGAGCTACAATACTCAAGGGGCGAGGAGGAAAATTCTCAATAAATGGTGTATAGTTGGTTTGGCAGCATTTTCAGTGAGGGGAGAGTCTTGGAAGAAACTTCCACCTAGGTGATAGCTTCGCAGAGTGGTAGGAAGTTCTTTTTTTTGAGGAGTTAGCCCCCCACCCCCCAAAAACACCCCACCCTGGGGAAAAAATTGTTCACACTAAATAACCTTGGATATTTTGATGTTTGTAAGTGACATACATATATATTATATATATGAATCACTTGCAGTATAATTGATGCGGATAACTCTTAAAGAATTTGAATATTAGTACAAAGTGTGTACCACAGGGGGCAAATTCGTGACTCATTTTCTTACCATTTTGATTCTAACTTTTCAATTAGACACTGTAAGAGGTTGAAAAAATTCATGTGAAGTGCCCAATAGCAGGGTTAGTAACCCTGAAAGATGCAAAGCCATGGAAGAGGTAGGAGCTGAGAAAAAAATTGTTGGTTTTTCGAAAAATTTGACATTTTTGACAGCTGGATTTTGTGTATGACTATAGCTGACCCCTATAGTTTCCAGATCCATCCCTCTATGATGATATTTATGGTTTTATAGTCTGGAACTAAGATGTAAAACATAATTTAGATGGGTTTTAAGGGAGTTAAAGGTTTTAAACAAGTCCAAAATTTGAAAAATTGTAAATATAAGGTTTCAAATTTATGAATTCCAGGTATAGCCATGGCTGACCGCTATAGTTTCTAGATCCATCCCTCTATGATGATATTTATGCTTTTATAGTGTGAAACTAAAATGTAAAACATAATTTAGATGGGTTTTAAGGAAGTTAAGGGTTTTAAACAAGTTCAAAATTTGAAAAATTGTAAATATAAGGGTTCAAATTTACGAATTCCAGGTATAGCCATGGCTGACCCCTATAGTTTCCAGATCCATTCCTCTATGATGATATTTATGGTTTTGTAGTATGGAACTAAAGATGTAAAACATAATTTAGATTGGTTTTAAGGAAGTTAAAGATTTTAAACAAGTCCAAAATTTGAAAAATTGTAAAATTAGGTTTCAAATTTAAGAATGTTAGGTATAGCCATGGATGACCCTTATGGCTTTTTCATCCATACCTCTATGATGAAACATAGAGTGTGAAACTAAGATGTAAAACATACCGAAGATGAATTTTAAGGAAGTTTAAGAATTTAAACACGTGCAATATTTGAAAAATTGAGAAATATCAGGTCTCAAAGGAGCACAGAAAGTATCGCAACAGATTTCAGACAGTCATATGTTGGATTTTGTCTGCTTTCTGAGGATTTAAGCACATTACCTACGGGAAAAGAACTTTTAGAGATGATAAAATAGTTTGGACTTTGAGACAGCGAAGGTGCAAACAATCCACCCACGTGTTTATTTGGAAATGTTGTCCTGATTTTCAACCCCTTTCGCCCCTGCTTTTTCAATTTTTGTTGCATCAATATGTTGCGTTTTGAGACATAGTTAACCCATTAAAAGGAGTAATAAATTTCTTTTTCCATAGGGAAAACTAATGTGATCCATTGCTTTCAGCTTAATTTTGGTCACCCATACTTGATATCTTTAAAACCCCTGATGGAATGCATAATGCCTTTAAAAGGGTTAACTGTGTGTCAAAACACAACATATTGATGCATGTGGGTGGGTTGCTTGCACCTTCCCTGTCTCAAAATAGAAATTATTTTATCATCTCTATGAGCTTTTCCAGGAGGAAATGCATTGGCCTAACATATGCACCTCCTCAAATCCTCATAAAATAGCCAAAATCCAACATATGACTGTCCGAAATCTGTTGCAATACTTTCAGTCCTCCTTTATGATTTTGGGTATAGCCTTGGATGTTCCTCTTTTTGAATGTATGACTTTTTAGCTTAGCAATTAGATGTTGAAGATATTGTGGTCAGGTTTGATCCATGTTACAAGTATTGTTAAAAGAAAAATCATTAGGGTTGAAGACCTTACCCTAGAGTTCCTAAGGGGTGAGAGGTTAATAAACCCCCCGCCCCTAAAGTGTAACTTCTCCTAGGGATATTGTATACAGTGTAGTAATTAATTGGTTAATTGGATTATAACTAATTAATTATTATTTGATGATATTTATTATGCGATATAGCATATTTACTTTTTCACATTAACATGTTCGATGTAATGTTCTACATTGTCAAAATACATAAAGACATGGTTAATTAAAGAAACATGATTTCTCTATATTTTGTTATGCCCCTACTGTTATTAAGCAATGATCATCTCCTAATACAAAATGTTATTATAAATTATCAACACTCCCAATAAAACAACTTGTCATCAGGCAACAGTAATCATTTTGGAAAATAAGATTATAAGGATCATACCCCCCCCCCCCCCCCCCCCGGCCTAGAAACTCCAGTTAGTGCAATGAAATTAGGAACTCTATGGTAAAAGGGTCTTGTCACACTAATATCTTCATGTAGATCAAAAAAGTAAATATGGTGATAAATATGATCAATATGTTCCAAACAAACAGACATTGGAGAAAATGTCTACATACTGACTTTGCAGATGACATTTTCTAGCATAGTTGAAGAATTTTTTACATTTATTGAAATTATAGTCCTAAAATTAGAATATCAGTGTCATTTGATGCAAATTACTGCAGTCCCACATGTTCTCGTGCTGAATGTAAAACAGGGTGAATATGTTTAAAATCAGCCTCTTGAAGAGTGGAATTTAACAGGGGATTTCAGTTATCATTTTCACAGATATGTGAGTTCTCTCCAATAGTTCCACTTAAAACAATCTTGACATTTGGCACACTTTTAGAATGCTGCTTTATTGAATTTCTTTGTAATCTTTGTCTTAATTTGTCTTATATTGCTTGGCCAAAAGGTATTCATATTTTTAGGTAATGGTGTAATTTCTTCTATGGATTAAAGTTCAATAGGGGAAGCATCCATTCTTCGCATTCTTTCAGAATCCCTTACTGATGGAGACTACTAGGAGTCAAATATGAAATCTATTCTTTGGGCTCCTTTACTAGATTTGATGGAGTAGTCAAACATAGCTTTCCAAAACTGTCCAAATTTCAACATATAAGTTAATCTTAATTTTCCTTTTGTCATAGCCATTGCATCGATCACGAAAGTTTTATCAATTTGTGGTATGGTTTCATCGATCTCCATTTCAAACCCCTTTTTAAGTTCTGATTTTACAGGATAAGATAGATGATCATTGTCAAACGAAATGTTTGTATCCATATAAGATCATAGTTTACTCACACATAACTTGGCAAGGTGTGTCCAATTTCAGCCAATTCAATACTCCATTTAACTGCATTCCAATTCACTACTTTCATAAACCCAAGGTCAATTTTAGATTCTAGAGAAACTAATGAAACCAATAAGGTGATCAATTTCATTGATTAAAAATCTATAAATAGCATCATAGGCAATAGCATGCCAAGTGCTTGTATTTGAATTTATGTGGATTACTCATTTGGTAGACACCTTTATCAAATAGCACAGTGTCATGGGTGCTCACTTTCCTGACATAGTATTAAAATTGTGGTAAAAATTATCAAAGGCATCATTAGTTCTAGTTCATCATCTTGTACAAATGATATATCAACAGTGAAACCTGTAAATCCCAACATCTGACAATTGTGAACACCTACCAATCATCCCAACACCTGACTAATCTGAACACATACAAATCTGAACACTTTTCCCAGTTCAATTTTTCCTCCCATTGACTCCTATGTTTAAAAAAATGAAATCTGAACACCTCTTAATTCGAATATGAATGAACACTCATATTATAAAAATTAACCTGTCTCTTTTTACCAAATATCACATATTTCTTCCAAAATTGCTCAAATATTGTCAATTTAACACCAATTGTTATGATATCAAAACTTTTGAATTGGATTTTGGAATGCTATTAAGCTTTTTGTGTGGTCAGTATAAATATTATTGATTTTTATTAATATCTTTCATTGAGAAGGCATATTTCATATTTCTTCAAAATTAAGAATATTGCAGATGTAAAAACCTCAAAATGCAAACATTCCTGAATAGAGCGCTTTTAGCCGGTTCAAATAGCATTCAGATTAGAGAGATTTTACTGTAGTTCATGACTTTTTACTCCATCTATATGCAGCAGACTAACTGCTGCAACAGGTATATATTCTACACCTGGTCTCTAAGCTATGATATCATAGTTGGTACTATTATGCTCATAACCTTCGATTATCAGGGCTCATTCAAGGCTGTACCTGAATAACGTGAATTTGAGACCTGATATTTCTCAATTTTTCAAATTTTGCACTTGTTTAAAACCTTAAACTTCTTTAAAACTCATCTTAGGTATCTTTTACATTTTAGTTAAACACTCTAAAACTATATATTTTATCACTGAGGTATAGATGTAAAAACCATAAGGGTCATCTTTGGCTATACCTGAAATTCATAAATTTGAAACCTAACATTTACGATTCTTCAAATTTTGGACTTGTTTAAAACCTTTAACTTCCTTAAAATTCATTTTGGGTATGTTAAATCTTAGTCCCACACTCTAAAACTGTATATTTAATCATAGAGGTATGGATGTAAAGCCATAAGGGTGAGCCATGGCCATACCTGAAACTCGTAAATATGAAACCTTATATTTACAATTTTTGAAATTTTAGACTTGTTAAAAACCTCAAACTTCCTTAAAACCCATCTAAATTATGTTTTACATATTAGTTCCATACAACGAAACCATAAATATCATCATAGAGGGATGGATCTAGAAACGATAGCGGTCTGCCATGGCTATACCTGGAATTTGTATATTTGAAACCTTATATTTACAATTTTTCAAATTTTGGACGTGTTTGAAACCTTTAACTTCCTTAAAACCCATCTAAATTATGTTTTACATCTTAGTTCCACACTATAAAACCATAACTATCATCATAGAGGGATGGATCTAGAAACTATAGGGGTCAGCTATAGTCATACACAAAATCCAGCTGTCAAAAATGTCAAATTTCTCGAAAAATCAACAATTTTTTTCTCAGCTCCTACCTTTTCAATGGATTTGCATCTTTGAGGGTTACTAACCCTGCTATTGGGCACTTCAAATATATTTTTTCAACCTCTTACAGTGTCTAATTGAAAAGTTAGGATCAAAATAGTAAGAAAATGGGTCACGAATTTGCCCCCTGGGGTGCACACTTTGTACTAATATTCAATTTTTTTATGAGTAATCAGCATCAATTATACTGCAAATGATTCATATATATAATATCTATGTATGTCACTTACAAACATCAAAATATCTAAGGTTATTTAGTGTGAACAATTTTTTCCCCAGGGTGGGGTGTTTTTGGGGGGTGGGGGGCTAACTCCGCAAAAAAAGAACTTCCTACCACTCTGTGGAGCTATCACCTAGGTGGAAGTTTCATCCAAGACTCCCCCCTAATTGAAAATACTGCCAAACCAACTATACACCATTTATTGAGAATTTTCCTCCTCGCCCCTAGAGTACAAGGAGTTTGGATATCCCTTGTATTTTAAGACTAATACTTCTTTGATTCTAGAAAGACTTAATGACATTTTCCCCATATTCTGACATAAATACTCATTGTCTAACGGTGAATCAACATTTAACTAAGCGCTACATTTAGAAAAGTAGATATAATGTATAGGCGAAAGACATCCTTATTATTATTGAGCTACATATTGATCATGTATAATTGACATTATTTTAGGCTAGCTACAGACTGGCTATTAGAACAGAAGGAATGGTGGAGGATCTTGTCAAGAACTTAAAAAGTGAGAACCAAGAGTTGCAGATGCATTGTGCAAGCGCCATCTTTAAGGTGAGTTTTCATTGTGTCAACACCAGAAGGGGTGATATGCCCCCAACTTTTTTGTGGACAGTGTTCGGCATTTGGTTTTTCGGTGTCTGGCCATCGCCATTCAGAGTTCAGCATTAACAATTTGCAATAACTGTATCCTTTCAAAATCATTCATTTCAACATTAATTTTGGTAACGCAATTCAATTAAATGCCCTTCACCATTTATTATTGCAACCCTTATTCAGAATGAAAATCAGTGAACATAAGTTTGTCTTAATGTTTCTCATCAATATGATTTAAATTCTCCTATTCCAGTGTGCTGAGGAAAAAGAGACCCGTGATCTTGTACGGCAATATGGTGGCCTTGACCCTATGGTATCACTACTCAACAATGGTGACAACAAGGAACTACTTGCTGCTGCAACAGGAGCCATATGGAAGTGCGCAATTAGTCCAGAAAATGTTCAGCGATTCCAAGAACTGAAAGCTATAGACTTATTAGTAGCTCTATTAAATGACCAACCTGAGGAGGTTTTGGTAAATGTGGTGGGTGGACTTGGGGAGTGTGCTAAAGATCCACCAAATAGAACAGCCATAAGAAAAGCGGGAGGTATACCCCCATTAGTGAATCTCTTAACTGGTACAAATCAAGCCTTATTGGTGAATGTGACAAGAGCTGTTGGTGAATGCGCAGAAGAATCTGATAATATGATGTAAGTATTGCATACATGAATTGTATACATATACCAGTATAGTATTGTAAATATTGTATACATGCATCTTATCAAGCATACTCGCCTCCATTGTTTGGAAAATACTCCATTCACTTCCGTATAAAACCCTCTTAGTAGTGAACACTGATCTACAGTTTATACTTTTTATGGCTCCAAAGGTGTTCACTATGCACAGGTTTTACTGTTATTAGGATGGGAGTCTGACATGCTCTCTCTTTATTTGGTTGTTTTTCACTCATACAGTTAATGCTTTGTCACTCATATCTGCTGTTGTCATTTCAGTATAATAGACAAACTAGATGGAGTGAGGTTACTCTGGTCATTGCTCAAGAATCAAAACCCAGAGGTACAAGCTAGCGCAGCATGGGCCATATGTCCTTGTATAGAAAATGCTAAGGTAAGAATTGAAAGTACAAGCTAGCGCAGCATGGGCCATATGTCCTTGTATAGAAAATGCTAAGGTAAGAATAGTAACACCATGGGGTCTTAAGAGAAAGCCCATGCTATCACATAATGGGACAGTCCAAACTAGCATAGAATGGGCCATATTTCACTGTATAGAAAATGTTAAGGTAAAAACCCATACTTTATAAAAATGCATCATAGCTTATTCATAGTATGTATTCTGCATTATTTTCTCTTTCTATTGAGATGGTTTTTGGCAATAATGCATCATAGCTTATTCAAAGTATGTATTCTACATTATTTTCTCTTTCTATTGAAATGGTTTTTGGCAATAACTAAACATAAAAATTTAAGACTTAACTCTTGTGTTTCCAGGATGCTGGTGAAATGGTTCGTTCATTTGTTGGAGGCTTAGAGTTAATTGTGAGTCTCCTGAAATCTGAAGACAAAGAGGTTTTAGCCAGTGTATGTGCTGCCATAGCCAATATAGCAAATGATGAAGAAAATCTTGCAGTTATAACAGATCATGGGGTCGTTCCTATGTTAGCTAAACTTACAAAAACAGTAAGTATATGCAGTTTGTATTTTTTATAAACAATATCAATATTGAGCCAAATCCTAACCACATATTCAGTTAATGTTCAATTTCTTGTATTACTGACAGCTTTGATGTCTGAGCAAGAACGTTTATTTCCCATCCATCTAACACTGATGTAGCCTGCTATACATGTACATCTATCTCCAAGGTCATATGCCTATTAGGGCAATTACTCAAATACTGATTGTCCAATTTATTTTCAGCCTGATGACAGATTAAGACGGCACCTAGCTGAAGCAATCTCACGGTGCTGTAACTGGGGCAATAATCGAGTAGCATTCGGTGAGGCTGGGGCAGTGAGTCCCCTGGTAAGGTACCTAGACTCTAAGGATGAAGCCGTACATAGATCAACAGCGAAAGCCCTTCATCAACTCTCCAAGAATCCTGACAACTGTATCACGATGCATGAAGCTGGGGCGGTAAAGGTAAGTGTTTTAATATTATTTTGGAGACATTAAATTTTGAGAAATCATGAGAAATATAGTCATAATAATTTTTTCCACCAATTTATTAATGAAACATTGACTATTCATTGATGAAAACAATTTCGAGACATTAAATTTTGAAAAATAACGAGAAATATAGTCATAATAATTTTTTCCACCAATTTATTAATGAAACATTGACTATTCATTGATGAAAACAATTTCGAGACATTAAATTTTGAAAAATAATGAGAAATAGAGTCATAATATATTTTTACACCAATTTATTAATGAAACATTGACTATTCATATTGATGAAAACATTGCCTTTGTTTTGTGTTAATTTACAGATTAAACATTGCCTCCGTTCTGTCATGGGCTTTCAAGGCACATGGTTCTGTCAATGCATTGACAAACATATTTCCTTTGTTCTGTGCTAATTTATTGATGGAACTGTATCTGTTTTATGTTAACTCATTGATGCACCATATTTCAGCCCCTAATGGCCATGGTTGGATCTCAAGATGAAATTCTACAGGAAGCCGGAGCAAGATGTATTAGAAACATTAGACGATTAGCACTGGCTAATGAGAAGTCACGGCATGGATAGATGGCGTTACTTTCAATCTCAATCCAATATTATGGAAATGATGTAGCATATAGACATTTATTTATGAAAGAAATGCCATGTCAATTTTTGTATTAAGATAGGGGGTGACTTAAAACCCAGTATATTTCCAATAGAGGTTCAATATCAGACCTCTAAATGTTTAATGCTTTAAATTATTCCGTCCAATTGAATTTTAACACAACTTACATTTTGTCATCCCAACTGTATTCAATGACTGCATTGATGTGATCTTTATGTTTCCAATGTTTGCCAAATAAACAACAATTTGAACAACAATGTACACAACAAAGATATGTAATCACAGGTTATACTGTATTTGTTATATTATTAAAAGTATACAAAATTACAACATGATTTTTAAGTACATTGCAAATCTTCTGAAATCTGAAGGAGGTTAACAGAACTCAGACTGACAAAATTACTTCTATACTGTCATTGTTCCATGTTTTCACCTTTAGTCTTTTCATGGTTCTTCAGCATGGTCTGTAGTATTGTCATTGTCAATCTAACATTCCTGAATACACGGATACATTCTCAAGTCAATGTTATACTCACATGATTTAGTGTTACAAAAATTATTATGTAAAAATATATTACCCAATTGATCCTATTTTTATATACAGATATATACAGATTTTGACAAAATTGAGAATCGGATGATTCACATGGGATCTAATTTATTGTTACATAGGCCTATCATCAGATCATGTTAGTTATATTAAACACAATTATTGATATTAGAGTTCTAATATATTGTAAATACTGTTGGATTATCAATTTATATCATAATTTTCATGCAGCATTCAATAGACATAATGTGAATAAAAAAATTATATTTTGTAATCATGACTTCTGTGCTTTGTATTGGCAGGTTAAAGTTTTGATTTTATGCATATAGGGCAAAGGGGTTAAACTTTGACACCATTTTGGGGTAACTTCGACATGTGGGGTAACTTCGATACCTTGTTGTTTATTTGCTCTAATTTCCGATTTAGGGGGAAGCCATGTTTTTTTTCTCACATGAATCGAGATCTCACGAGATTTGAATTTTTCCAGAAATCAAACATGGCGGAAAACGGAAATTCTACTTCTAATATGGAAGTGTCAAAGTTAACCGCCTCTCATGTCGACATTACCCCACACGTCAACATTACACCCCTTTGCCCTAGATTCGATGAAAAAAGGTGACATGAAAACTTCCGTCGTCAACTTCTTTTTTAGCGTGAAGAGAATTGTGTTTTTACCTCCCCTCTTCCACAATAAGCTAACTTAGACATTGCAATGTAATTTAAAAGATGCAAGGGAGGTTAAGGATTATAGAACACACTTGCAATAAGGTCCCTTGAAAAACCATTCAGACGGGAGTTATCCTTGGGTGTCGTAATAGTACATTTTCACATACAAGTTCTCATGTAGCTAAACCTCCTAAGAATCTATTTCCCTCTCATAATTGATATATGGACATTGAAGTAACAGCGATTGAAGGGAACAAAATATTGAATTTATATGGTTTTAGCATAATCAACAATTTCTTTTTAAATTCACAGAGACTGGTGAATGAATAGATTGATACATTGCAATGATATCTACACTTGCCACATTGTTTTCATATTTATACTGTAACTGCCTACATTTCAATCATATCTAATGTCAAACTCACTTATGTTGCAATCATCTGTTGCAATCATACTGCAACTGACTACATTGCAGTCGAACTTTCCCTGCAACTATTGCAATCATCTGATTTCAAACTCACTACATCGCAATCATACTGCAACTGACTACATTGCAGTCAAACTATCACTGCAACTATTGCAATCATCTGATGTCAAACTCACTACATCGCAATCATACTGCAACTGACTACATTGCAGTCAGACTTTCACTGCAACTATTGCAACCATCTGATGTCAAATTCACTACATCGCAAACATATTGCAACTGACTACATTGCAGTCAAACTTTCCCTGCAACTATTGCAATCATCTGATGTCAAACTCACTACATCACAATTATACTGCAACTGACTACATTGCAGTCAAACTTTCACTGCAACTATTGCAATCATCTGATTTCAAACTCACTACATCGCAATCAAACTGCAACTGACTACATTGAAGTCAAACTTTCACTGCAACTATTGCAATCATCTGATTTCTCAAACTCACTACATCGCAATCAAACTGCAACTGACTACATTGAAGTCAAACTTTCACTGCAACTATTGCAATCATCTGATTTCAAACTCACTACATCGCAATCATACTGCAACTGACTACATTGCAGTCAAACTTTCACTGCAACTATTGCAATCATCTGATGTCAAATTCACTACATCGCAAACATACTGCAACTGACTACATTGCAGTCAAACTTTCACTGCAACTATTGCAATCATCTGATGTCAAACTCACTACATCACAAACATACTGCAACTGACTACATTGCAGTCAAACTTTCACTGCAACTATTGCAATCATCTGATTTCTCAAACTCACTACATCGCAAACATACTGCAACTGACTACATTGCAGTCAAACTTTCCCTGCAAATATTGCAATCATCTGATGTCAAACTCACTACATCACAATCAATTCATAACATCAACATACTACATCTTATATAATAATCACCGGTTTCAAGTCATAACATACAGTAAATGAAAATATCAGGGATATATCTTATAGTCACAAAGATATATACAGTGATCTCCCCAGCATTAAAGCAAGTGGGCGCAGCACCCACCTGAGATTTTGAAAATCCATTTGCACCCACTTGAAAATGAGAAAAATCATGAAAAATGTGCATATTTTGACCAATTTTGGTCTTTGAGAATTTTGCACCCATTTGAAAAAAATCCTGTCGAGATCACTGTATACATACAGGGTGTTCATAAAATCTCTACAATTGCAATACAAAGTGTTAAGAGACTTTGTAGACACCCTGTAGATCATAATGTATTAATATCTTGTATGAGAACAACTTACAAGCTATCACCTTTGCCTTTGTATAAATCTGCAAACAACTCATTTTGCTCAATTATAACACTTTTAACCCACTACATTTCATTGATAATTCAATCAACTCATTCAGATACTTCTTGACATTTCATTTCAACTTCCCTCTGGGAAATAGCACGTGTTGACTTAAATCGTTTCTTTACAGGTCCAGCTTTACCTCTTGCTTTCAGTACGGACTCTGGGAAATGAAATATCATGCCTTGTTTCAGCGACTGTTGTTTGGTGCCCAAAATTTCGAAGATTTCAATTGAGAGTTCGGGAGGTATGATCCTGGTTGGTGAAACAAAGGAGGCATATTCTTCCATCGTTAATGCCCCATAGTGTATCAAATAAATGGCATCTCCTAGAGTAGTACGTATATTTTCCGGGGACGGCTCCAGCTCTTCTTCTAAGCATTTACACTCCGCCCACTGAATTGCTGCTTCAAACATCTCAAGTTCAGTTGTATACGTAACTGGATCTAACTCCAATACTGCCTTGAGAAGCTCATAATGAAGCGATTTAAAATTATCTTGACGGAGAACGGCAGTTGTGTTAGCAGAGATGAACTCGAGACATTGATTAACGCTCTCGTCGTATCTAAAGCTATAACACAGGTTCATAAGGCTGCATACAGTGTCCACTTTGAGGCATTCCTTCATATAGACATCACAGGGGTGTTCAAGTTGGGGAACGAGGTATTTCTTAGCAGCATATTTCACTTCTACTACATTATCTATTGTTAGCTGGACCCTCTCACTGTATATGAATCTGGAAATACATCAACACAGAATATATTTTCAATGAAATATTTATTTCAATATAAAATTATATAGAGGTTATTTAGTAGGAGGGATTGAATATGGGTTTTATTCTGAGAGACAATATGATATTTCCTGAGGGCCCATAGGGTCACAAGGAATAAACCTATATTCAATCCAAACCAGTAAATAAATAAGCTTTTTATCCCATAACTGTTTTCATCAACAATAGTATGGTACACATAATATGATTTATTTGTACTGATGCCCTCGGGCCGAATGTACATCCAACAATAAAAGATATTACAATTTCACAATTGCAGTAATTTCCTCAGTGTTATTCACTGGGAAGAAGTATATTATGGGGTAAAACATAGTGTTATTCACCGGGAAGAAGTATATTATGGGATAAAACATAGATGACCATAGTTGCCACAGGGTATTATAAATCCCTTCAATTGTCAAAGGGCATTATTCATTGATCCCTTCATTTGCTTAAGGGTATTATATCATATCTACTGTAACCTCTTTTAAATTGTTTTATATCTTTTATATCTTTTGTATCAAGGAGACTTAACTAAAACATCTTTTATTAATCAATGTCAGAGCCTTGTGATAAACATGTAGGTAGAAGCAACATCAATTTTTTGGAAAGCGTTGGTTATGAAAGGGGGAAATCTTAAATTTTATGAGGAGTAGATTGGAAAATACAAGTCATTAACATGCAAAATATCACCACCTGCCATTTGTTACAGATGGTGACTGTTGAATGCAAACTACTGAACACTGACTGCTGGACACCATCCACAAAAAAGTTGGAGACTATAACAATATGTCACCATTTCAAAAATGCCACCATTTGGTGCAATGCGAAAAATATAATAGTTTGATGGCAGCAGAAACCAGGATCGATGGTATAAACTAACAGTATGGGCCCCTATAAAAACTCAAACATCCAATCTTATTCTCATCACATTGAAAATGATAAGAAAAGTAACACAAGGAATGGACATGCAAAATGTCACTACCTGCCATTTGTTACAGACACCAACCACCAAAAAAAGTTAGACCACTTGTGGTGGTGACATAAAACTCATGTGTATTGATTTAGTATACCACATCCCAAAGGGTGGTTTTTGCTTCAAGTATTCATTATTATATACCTCAAATGTATTCTAGATGCTCATTGGCTTATTCATATTCATAATATGTGCACTAAAAGTCCTAATTCGTTTTTGATTTTAATTATACCATGAATTCATATAAATCCAAGGGCACACACCCAAGCTCAATGTTATTGTGTGTTCTTTTTTTCACTTTCGTTTGCTGTTATTCTTTCTATCTTTTTATCTTTGCAGGGTATATGCCTCTCATACTATATTTGTATGAGTGATATAAACAATGATTCCTTGTGGGCTCATCTCCCTTTTCAGCATTACAACAGTACAGAACTTGAATCAATTGTCTTGAATAGAGATGACTATGAAGATCTTTTATTTAATCCATTCATCAAAAACAAAAATGATCTTGACTATGAAACATCAGATATAGAAACGCAACGACTTATAAACGGCTGCAAATATTCAGATCCAGAACAATTAAATGCCAAAATAAAATCAAAAAATTCAAATCAATTTTCAGTGCTCAATCTTAATATAAGAAGTATGGCACAGAACTTTAACAAATTTTTAACAGTCAATTCAATTATTGACCATAATTTCGACCTCATTGGTTTCACAGAAACATGGTTAACACAATCTACTGAAAAATTATACGATATAGAAGGATATGAATCTGAGTTTCTATCTCGAAAAATTAATAAGCATGGCAAAAAACGTGGGGGAGGTATCGGAATATTCGTGGCCAAAAAGTATGAGTATATACTAAGGAATGACATGTCTATAAAAGTTGATGATTGTGAAAACTTAGTTATTGAACTCATTAATAGAGATGGTAAAAATATCATAGTATCTATTGTATACCGTCCACCAGATAAAGATATGACAAGTTTTAATGAATCTTTAGACAATTTCCTCCAAATGGTAAATTCTGAAAAGAAAGAATGTATATTGATGGGGGATTTTAACATTAATCTCATGAATTCAAATCATCCACAAACTATGTCCTTCTTTAGTACAATTCTAGCACACAGTTTTATGCCTACTATCTTTCGACCAACAAGAATAACTTCAGATACAGCAACTCTTATTGACAATATTTTTACAAATCAACCTAACCTATCAGATTCCGGATTAGTAACTACCGATATATCCGACCACTTTCCAATTTATGCAAATTTTGACTATAAGGTAACCAAGAAAAAGGAAGAAATATACAAATTTAGGGAAATTAACAATGAAACAAAGAGTAAATTTAACGAGAAAATCACCGCTTTTAGTTTTTCAGATGTATATAATGCTGAAAATGTTAATGATGCTTATAATCTCTTTATAGAAAAAATACAAAAATCATATAATGAATGCTTCCCTTTGAAAACAAACAGGGTAAAATATATCTTTAATAATTCTAAACCTTGGTTAACCAAAGCTATATTAAATTCATGTAAGCTGAAAAATAAACTATACAAATATTATTTGAAACTGCAAACCCCAAACAGAAGGAATGAGTACCAAAAATACAAGCGGATTTTGCAAAAAGTAATTAAGAAAGCAGAGAAGATGTATTATACAAATAAATTTAAAATGATACAAAGTGATTTGAAAGAAACCTGGTCCTTAATTAATGATATTTTGAAACAGAAGCAACATAGGAAAACATTACCCAATTATTTTTTATCGGGTAACAGGAAAATTACTGAACGAGCAGAAATAGCTACACAATTCAATAATTTCTTTGGTAATATTGGCACAAGTCTTGCCAACAAAATTCCAAATTCTAAAAACAATGCTTCTTTTTATTTGAATAAAATTCAAGAAAACTTCACCAAAAGTATATTTTTATCCAATGTAGATTCTGATGAAATGAATACGATTTTGACTAACTTGGAAGACAAGGCTGCTGGTGAAGATCAAATAAAACCAATTATAGTTAAAGATGTTAAAGATATTTTAATACTCCCTTTGACCTACATTTGTAACTTATCATTGAGAACCGGAGTATTTCCTAATAGACTAAAACATGCAAAAATCACACCCATATATAAAAAAGAAGATGAACATCAATTTAACAATTATCGCCCAATTTCACTTTTGTCCGTTTTTTCAAAGATTTTAGAAAGAGTTATGGCCAACAGAATTGTTGATTTTTTGGAAAAATTTAAAATATTTTGTGAACAACAGTTTGGTTTCAGAAAAAACAGATCAACATATATGGCACTTCTGAAGTTTCTGGAATCACTTCGTTCATCACTTATTGATAAAAAATTTAATATTGCAATATTTATTGACTTATCGAAAGCCTTTGACACTGTAAACCATGAGATTCTTTTGGAGAAATTACATTTCTACGGAATAAGGGGTATCGCTCATAACTGGTTTGCAAGTTACTTGAACAATAGAACTCAATCGACGGAGTATGATAATTGTGTATCACATCCTATCAGAATATCATGCGGTGTACCACAAGGGTCGATTCTAGGACCTATATTATTTCTCATTTATATTAATGATATTGTGAAAACAACTTCTTTTCTAAAACTTATAATTTTTGCTGATGACACAAATTTACTTGCTTCTGGTAAAAATTTAAACGAATTAGTTAATCATATTAACAATGATCTAGACATTTTAGATGACTGGTTAAGGGTGAACAAACTCTCGCTCAATATTGACAAAACTAAATTCATGTTTTTTTCACATCGCAAACTCACTCAAAATGAATCGCACCTTTTGAAAATAAATATAAGGAACAGTAGTATTGAACGAATTAACAAAACTAACTTTCTTGGTGTAATAATCGATGATAACCTCTCATGGGAAAGTCATATCAAACATATCACTGTGAAGATTTCACAAACACTGGGTGTTTTATTTAAGGTACACAACAGATTAAATTTTGAATCTCTGAAATCAATTTATTATTCACTTATATATAGTCACTTAAATTATTGTATTCTTGCATGGGGAACTGCAACCAAACGATTAATGGATATGATTTTAAAGCTACAGAAACAGTTTCTGAGACTTATATCACATAGTGCCAAAGATACACCCTCAGCACCCCTTTTTAAGAAATATAGATTTATTGACGTGTTCGAAGTTTATAAACTCAATGCTGCCTTGTTTGTATTTAATTGTATCAAAAGACCAAAGGAATTCCCTATCAACATGTTCAATGATTATTTTATAGCAAATAGCAGAGTCCATAAAAGAGATACAAGAAACAAATATGAACTCAGGTCCAATAATTTTAAATCAGTATTTGGTCAAAAATCCATCAAACATAGAGGCCAAATTATATGGAATGAACTCCCAAACTCCATTAGAGAAATTAACAGCAGAAATAAATTCAAATCGGATTATAAAGAATTACTCATAAAAAATCATAGAAGTTAACATTAAATTCTAATTTTGATGGTGTAGACTTATAACTATTAATGCAAGTGAAAGAGCCCCATAAACCTAATTTAACTTCGGATGTATGTAAATACCATATGCTATGCAAACCCTGCAACTTTCTCTTTTTCTCTTTCCCTTTCTCTCTCGTTTCTTCTTCTTGTTTATTAAATGTTTAATGTTCAAGCATCAGCTGTTTATTTGAATATTTATATAAGAAAGGCTACATACATCCAAAAGGATGTCAAGCCTAGATATGTAAAGTATATGTAAATGTAGAGTATAGATGAATAAAAAAAAAAAAAAAAAAAAAAAAAAAAAAAAAAAAAAAACATGGAATAGATGAACTAATTCCCTGGAAAGTCCTAAATCTCTGCTTTCAGGGAAGATGAATTGTATTAATCACCAGTTAGGTCATGTGACCAGTCAATAGTACGTTTTATCTTCCCCCAAATCTGAGATTATAGGAGTTGAAAGGTAAAATGCCTTTAAATGCCAATAAGAACCTGTGAACGTTTGATATTGAAATGAAAAGACTTCTCATTTTGTTATTGTTTACAGAGTACTTATCGGGTATATAATAAAACAAATAGTGACTGCCACATTTTCGGGAAATAGTGTAAAAATTTTCCTCTCGGGAATATCCTGTCCACTGACTTGTTCCCTCGGCCTGCAGCCTCGGGAACATGTCAGTGGACAGGATATTCCCTTGAGGACAATATTTTGCACTATTTCCCTCAATGGCAGTCACTATTTGTACAATTATGAGATATAACTTATGAAAAGGGTATTTCTAGAATTGTTTCTACTAAGATTACGGTCAATAAAATTTAAAAATTATCCCTCAAAGTATTTCACTAAACTCAGTTTCAGTCACAAGTCATGTTTCACTTAAAAATAATCTCTGTTTGTAATATTGATCATTCTTTGAAAATATGACGATCAATTCTAACAAGTAGACAAAGTCTTAATAAGTGGATGTAAGATATTATGATATCAATTGCCCCAAGTTCTTACCTAATCATTGGTTTTTTAAAAGGAAAAATATCACTCTAAAGAAGAGTTGCATTCAATTGATTTTACTCCTCTGATGATGTGGAATCGCTGAAAAACCAAAAAATGATATCTAAAATGATTTGCATGTTGCCCTTATATTTGTGGATATTGTTAGCAGCAATGTTTTCATTCCAAGGTAAGTTAAAGGAGCAACAAAGATATATTTAAGATAACTCATCAAATATCGGAGTTTTTAAAGACTTAACGTGCAGTAAAGTCTGAATTCATTAGAAAGGTAAGTTTTAAAACAATTGTCTTAATCAACAACATTTGTTTGGCTTTCATCATTACTTGTTATGTCTATTTTCTAGTTATGTCTATTTTCTAAGAAGTTCAACAGTTCTGACTTTATTTCATAATACTAGTAGTTCTTTGTTTTTTATAGATTATCTGACAAAAAATGAGAACATTTCTGTATCTTCAAATAACTTTTATATTTGATCAGATATCTCAATTTTTTATCAAAAAATAATAGACTACATGTACATAAGTGATAAAATAATATGTCAAGACTTTTTATTACTCACAAAAAGAACACTCCCTAACTCCTACTAGAGAATCAGTTTTATAACTGGTGATTAAATTTTTCAAATCTGCGAAATTTGCCAAATTAAATAAGCAAGTAATAAATTAATATACTCACGGGATACTAGAGTATCCGCATATATTGAGTATGACCGGTTCTAAGCTTACGAGTGTGACCGTATTTCTGTTCCTATAAACAGACGAGGTGAGTACTTGCTTTTTATGAACACTTTCGAACGTTTTCTTTTTATCCTACTTGGTCAATGAATGATACTTGGTATACTTATAATGCCAGGCATATCACAAGGGGCCTTAATCAACAGAAAACGTATTAATATTAGATTGAAGCCGTAAAATCCTAGTTTCCAGCATCTTTGATCAGTTTTTGTGTAACACAACGCAACTCCGAAGAGGATGACACATCTTAAGTATAACATATAGCTAGATCTACGAATTAGTCATGAATATTTTAAATAATTTAGCCTGCTCTGTCCAAATATGATACATCTTTGAATTTTTGAGAATACGAATGTCACTGGTGCCCCATTATTGGAGAATACAGTTGTGAAATGTCTTGGATGCCGTGTTACACTCGTTTCCATGACATTTCACAAGCGTATCCTGTGGGAAAAGATAAATCCTCCTCTTGCTCACTCTACGGGGGATCATATAAACTGAGATTTGGAGATCTTGTTCAGGTTAGCCATAAAAAGGTTTGGGATTTGTTTTTTTCTACTGTGATATTAATGATTTGGCTCTAAGGCGAGAAATCTGTACTTTCTGATTGATATTCCATTATGAACAGTTACATTGCTAAAATAGCTCATGTTTAACATTTTTTTGTTACATTACTATTAAATACAGCATAAACTATATTCAACAAACACAATTTCAAAAAGGATAATATAGAAGTTAACCTTTATTTTCCATTTTTAAGCAGTTGTGCCTCTCATGACTTCCCAAAACAGGTCATATTCGTAGCCTAAGAACCGGTCATACTCAATATACGCGGATACTCTAGTTACCCGTGATACTAGTAGATAATAAGGCATGAACATGCAAAATGTTGCCACCTACCATATATTGCAGATGCCAAATACAGAACACTGTCCACAAAAAAGTTAGAGACTATAACGATATGTCACCACTTTATTTATTTTCAGGCACCACTGCTATGAGTATGCCATCATGCAGTCACAACTTTGGCTACTTTGGTAACATGACATTCAAATCAGTACAAGGCAGACTCTTGAACATAATGACAGGCATGAAGATCCCTTGTGATGGGTATCTAATGGGGTGGCTGTATGAGCTACATGCTCAAGAGGATTCACCTTGGGCCTGTATATTCCGTTCGATTACAGCGACCAACTTTGAATTGGTACATCGAATTCAGTTACCAACTCAAGATTTGGGCATTAATTTGAAACGACTGGAAATACCATTCCAATTTAAAAGTTTCTGTTTTTCATTTGTTCATTATTATTCTACATTTGAATTTTGTTTTAATTTTTGCAACATTTGATCTGCTACCTTACCCTACTATCACACCAAACTAGTTCTCACTACGTTCTCGAAAACGGGCTTCAACTGTATACGAACGGACTGGACCTACTAAGAACCGTTTGGGATCTATTTACAAACTTCATCGAACGTACTCGAACGGGGAGGTCCTCTTGAACTTAGACAATGCTCGAAATGTTGTTGTGGTCGTTAAGTTCTATAATTAGAACTAGTGACAACGTACTAACAACGAGCTGGACGTACTACGAACGGAACCGTCGTACTTCAATCATACTAGGGACGTTTTAACAACGAGTTGAACTGTCTGAGGACGTGTTGAGAACGAGGTAGAACTAAATGCAAACGGGATTAAACTGATAAAGAACGTATTTAACACTGCTTATGAACGAGCTAGCAAAAATATAGCTATCACAACAAGCAAGTTACCACTGCGTTCTTCAAAACTGGTTTTAAACTGTGTGCGAACGGAATGAACGTAGCTGCAACTTTCTAAGGTCTATTTACGAACTTCATGAACGTTCTCAGACGGGAAGGTGATTTTAGAATTTTGAATTGATTCAAAATTCGATGGCGACCATACCGTTCTGTTATCAGGTCATGGTGACCTTCTAGACTAAGGGACGCGTTATACGACGTTGCACACCGACCTGGTGCGACCTGAACGAACTGCGAATGAGATGGACGTATTGAAGACTGTTGAAGACTGTTTATGAACGAAGTAGCTAATTATCTCAGACATATTTCCCGACCACAGCCAGATTAAGCCCGTTTTACGACTTTTTCGTAGGACTGGCAAGAACGGGTAAGAACTAGTTTGGTGTGATAGCAGGGTTAAAAACACATAGGACCTGGTTGCCAGTAGGTAGTTTTACCACCCAGTGGCTGACTCTGATCAGATAACATTGCAGGCATATAAATAATTCCCCTAAACTAAGATTATTTCTACTTGCATCCAGTATATTTTACGACAAGTTTTCATTTGATGACGTGCGTACTATATTACGGTAATTTGATTGGTTTGTTGTAAGGATTTCCCTTGTGCAAACCCCTTTCCTTCCTTTCACTATAAAACAAGCCCCTGGTAAACCCTGGCTATGCCCCTTAAGAGGTTTATAATAGAATAACCATATAATACCAATTGAGTCAACTACTTAATTTTAGTCAATAATGTCCATCACTGCTATATCTTTAACATCCTGTAACCCTCTTTGAATCCTCATTTAACTTATATCACAAAAAGAAATCATTGATTAATATCAAAAGATAAAAGGGGTTATGTAAAGTTCACAAATGATCAATGATTTCAATTAGAAGAACATAATCATCTTCAAATTATGATGCAAATTATTCTAGGAGAAAGATTTGAAGCTTTCCATTGCTTAATTCTATCGGAGAGGTTGCAAAAGGATGACATCAAATATGTTTTGCTTGTCAGTCTTTTGTTTGTGGGTTTTATTTGCAACATTATCTATTCTTGGTGAGTAAAACAATTAAAATCAACTGTTATTGTAATACTGGAAATCTAGGACTTTGTACATATATCATTGGTTTACTTCCGATAACTGTAGATTTTTCATTATGTATAATGTTTAACAAATATTTTAATTTAACATTTTTTTCTACTGTCAGGTAGCCCTGCTACTAATACAGAATCCTGCAGTCACAACTTTGGCTACTTTGGCAACATGACATTCCAAGCAGTGCAAGGGAGACTCTTGAACATAATGACAGGCATGAAGATCCCTTGTGATGGGTATCTAATGGGGTGGATGTATGAGCTGTATGCTCAACAGGATCCACCTTGGGTCTGTGTATTCCGTTCGATTACAGCGACCAACTTTGAATTGGTACATCGAACTCAGTTACCAACTCAAGATTCAGGTGTTAATTTGAAACGACTGGAAATACCATTCAAGGTAAGACATTAAAACTCATCATTTTTTTCACAACACCTCTGGAATATATAAATATTTATTTAACTTTTTTTGTCTCTAAGAACATTAATCAGAATTGAGCAGTTGTTTATCAAGTCTTATTGCAAGAACAAGTCTAAAAGAATTTCATTGTTCAATTTCCTAAGCTAAATTCAGTCTCATTCAAAGTTTGACCTCCATAGCCCCTCTATTCATTTACAAGGGCCAAATTTCTAATTTTGCATGTTTTGGGGGTAGTGATTAGCTAGACTTCAGGGCTCTTACATACATCTATTCTATTATACCAAAAAATAGGTAGCCAAGGATGATATAGTTGGATTGATGTTTTCCTCTACAACCACTGATGGTTCTATACTACAACATATGGAAAACAACCCCACAAACATCCCAACTGAAGACTTCTATGAGACATATCTGGAATGGGGAGCTCCTTACCATCACATAGAAAACACTGAAATTGGAGACAATTTTGAACTGAGTGCAGCCAAATGGATTGTCTACAAAAGGGTCTATCAACTTCAGGCTGTTTTGAACCATGGTGAGTATCATAGATACAGTCAATCACTGTAAAAGTTCTCTATATCCTCATATCAGAGGTGCAAAGCAGTTCAAACATACTCTTTCCAACTGTTTGATTTTGCTTCTTAAAAGAGCACTTCATTAATGATAAGATTTCTTGACACACTTCAAAAACAATTTCATAATGAAGACAACAATCTTACTACTAAAGTATTGTCTCTAGAATCCATGTATCCTAATTCCTGACAATTGACTGCAACACATAGTGAATTTATGCTACAGATTTGAGGCGTAACAGGGGAAACTATGAACTAGGAGAAGAAGATACCACTCTTACAGTTCCTGCTATTTCTGATGGATTTGGACCATGTGATGTCAGTGATTGTGCAGTCCGTTGCCTTGGAGATCATGAATGTTTGTCTTTTACTCTAGACAACAATGGTGTTTGTTCCCTATATGCAAGAAGTGGATATGATTCTACAATATTTCAAGATGAAACAGGGACGACCCTTTATAGATTTTCAACTCCAGTATAATGCCAATGATGAAGCACCAATGATAAATGTTCAAACTAGATAAGGTGATGATTTGAGAAAACTTTCAAATACATCTTACAGTAAAAAATTGTATTATACATTGGTATGGTTTTTGGATTAAGCTTTTGACCTTAATTTTGAAATTACAATCTAACTCAACTATAAAATATCAAAAAAATGCTTTTACAAAAAAGGATAGAGTTGAGATTTAAAAAAAAAAATCACAGGCCACACATTTCTTTTTTTATTATCGCCCTTTCGCGAAAAATATAATTTTTTCATTTTTTTTGTCTAATATGGATGTTACTAACTAGAAAATCAGCAACTCCCCAGAGTAGCAAATCACTCATCATTTTGAACATATCATGATAGAAATAACTATATAGGAAGTAGTTTTGGCGAAATCTACACCCAAGATGTGTCATGGTTTTATATTATAAATTCCTTCTTGAGAAGAGGTGGCCATGAGGAATTGTGCAAATCATGAAAAAATCTGAAAGGATAAACATAAATAAAACAATTTGTTTAATGTAATGAAACTTTCCTTGTATATTTCTAATTGTGTATTTATTGATGTTGTGTATATAAATTGTAAAAAATAAAGTGTAAATATGTTCTAAAGTTCACCAAATGTTGTTGTTATCTTATATAAGTTCACGAACTGACAACATTGGATATAACATATATTAATATCAGAATTGCAAACAGAATATAGACTAGAAAAAGAAAACAAAGCAAATTTGAAAAAATCTTATCCAAAAAGTGCTCTACCTGACTAATTCCAAAAATGCCTCAGGAATGATATCAGGTATGTTGATAGTGTCTGTGGTTTCTTTAACAGGCCCATAGAACATGGCATCAAATACAGGGCTTCCAACTGAGAGAATCAGTTTGTGGCCATATATCACCTTTGAACTCCCAGGGAAGGCAAACCTAAAAATCAAATATATATTTTTAAAAGGTTATATAAACAACTTAATATATAACTTTGGGTATTAAGTTCATATCAGCCATTTGTTAGCTCTCATTCAGAAATCTTCTTAGATTTTGAACATTTCTATGTTAATTTCTGTCGAAACCACCATTTTAGTTTGTGAATAGAAATTATCCATTTGATTTGAGAAGTCCTGATCGCATAGAAGCACCTGATAACTGACTTACAGTGATAAAGGAACCATTAAAGATATAGTAAGCAGCCAATTTCATTCTTTAGGCAATTATTTGGCTAGAAGTCATATAGCATGTGGACCACTGTATACTAATGAGAACGGTACAATTATACTATAAAAGGTAACACAGCATATTGTCAAGTGAAAATAAAGCTAAACTTGTACGGGAAGTAAAATATATGAAAGGTAATTCACTCCATTGGCCATTTTGAATGGCACATGTAAACAAATATTTTTAATCCCAAAATTGACATATGTGGATTATAGTCCGAATATTTTCATCCCAAATTTCAAAAATTTCAGACTTGAGGATATAGTACAGTGCTCATCATAAAAAATGGCATCTTGATTTTCTATCACCATTCCAAGACCATGGTGATTTGAGACTTAATACTTTCCAATAATGTCTTGACACACATCCTGAAGGTTCTGTATATCAAACATTTTGTATACTATCAACTATGAACTTATGGCCACTTGAAAATTTTCTTCTTTTTAACATGGGAAATCTTCACTTCAGCAAATTGTGGGCATTCAATTGAAAGCCCATAAGCAAATCCAGGTGTCATTTATTTATGGTAATCATTGTGCCTTACTACTTCATTGAAATGTTATAAAGTTTATTTTAATGATATAGCCCTCATGCCCCCCTAAAGCTTCCTCATATGAATAATTTGTGTGCAAAAATATTAATTGCAATTTCCCCAGGACAGTACGCATATGTATGGTTAACTATCAAAATTTAGTTAATTATCTGACGTTGATCTTTTGCATTGGTCCCTTATTTTAAGTTGCCCTAATGCTTCTTCAAATCAATAATATGTGTGCAAAAAAATTCATTGCAATTTCCCCAGGACAGTGTGCATATGGTTCACAGACTAGCTTCAGCCTGTCGGATATATAAACCCTAATTTTTTATTTCAGAAACCAGTTCATATGGTCAAAATAACAAAATGCTGTGATGTAACTCTTGGACTATGTTACATTATGTACATTGTGAAACTCAGCTAAACATGACACACACTGAAGGCAATAACATATCTATATTGATCTTAGCACAACTTGTTGAAATTTAGATCGTCTGTTTTGCCAGTCATGTGACTGATCATGTGTCTAGTTACTGTTTTGATATCACATGACTTATGATGTTCGCTAAACCATGTCTTCAAAAACAAGGCACAGACGTGAACAATATCGTACCTAAAACACAGCAGTGTGACAGTGAAGAATTTAGGATGGAAAATCCAAAATGGCCACCTTAAAATTTACCCAGAATGCCCAAAAACTAATCAGTTCTTAACTTTGATACGTAGAAACATCCCTGAAAATTTCAGATGAATCCATCAAATGGTTTGGTTGGAAACCTGTAGACAAGTCTTGAAAGTGAAGATTTTAGGACGGAAAATCCAAAATGGCCACCTTAAAATTAACCCAGAATGCCCAAAAACTAATCAGTTGTTAACTTTGATATGTAGAAACATCCCTGTAAATTTCAATTGAATCCGTCAAATGGTTTGGCTGGAAACCTGTAGACAAGTCTTGAAAGTGAAGATTTTAGGACGGAAAATCCAAAATGGCCACCTTAAATTTTACCCAGAATGCCAAAAAACTAATCAGTTCTTAACTTTGATACGTAGAAACATCCCTGAAAATTTCAGATGAATCCCTCAAATGGTTTGGCTGGAAACCTGTAGACAAGTCTTGAAAGTGAAGATTTTAGGACGGAAAATCCAAAATGGCCACCTTAAAATTTACCCAGAATGCCCAAAAACTAACCAGTTGTTAACGTTGATATGTAGAAACATCCCTGTAAATTTCAAATGAATCCGTCAAATGGTTTGGCTGGAAACCTGTAGACAAGTCTTGAAAGTGAAGATTTTAGGATGGAAAATCCAAAATGGCCACCTTAAATTTTACCCAGAATGCCAAAAAACTAATCAGTTCTTAACTTTGATACGTAGAAACATACCTGAAAATTTCAGATGAATCCGTCAAATGGTTTGGCTGGAAACCTGTAGACAAGTCTTGAAAGTGAAGATTTTAGGACGGAAAATCCAAAATGGCCACCTTAAAATTTACCCAGAATGCCCAAAAACTAATCAGTTCTTAACTTTGATACGTAGAAACATTCCTGAAAATTTCAGATAAATCCGTCAAATGGTTTGGCTGGAAACCTGTAGACAAGTCTTGAAAGTGAAGATTTTAGGACGGAAAATCCAAAATGGCCACCTTAAAATTTACCCAGAATGCCCAAAAACTAATCAGTTCTTAACTTTGATACGTAGAAACATTCCTGAAAATTTCAGATGAATCTGTCAAATGGTTTGGCTGGAAACCTGTAGACAAGCTGAAAAGTGAGACGCCGCCCGCCGCCCACCCGCCCGTCAAGCTGACGACAATATCATACCTTTATTAGGTACATTATTAGGTACGATAAAAATATATTAATATCTTTATTCAAGATATTACGCGAGGAAACTTATTGCTTTTATGAATCATAAACCTGAAATGAAGCATTGAAATAAGTAAATTAAAACGCTACAAATAAAGTGGTAAAAAACAACAAACTAAAGATGAAAGATCGCAACGTTCCCTACTTTGTTCAATTCCAGAAATCTCCAAGGTGCTACAAATGGGAATTTTGGGGGATTTATAGTTTATTAATACTGCCTTCAGTGTCATGTTTGGCTGTGTTTCATAATGTAACATAGTCTGATAGATGACATATCAAATGCTGTTAAGTAGATATGTGGTTACATCGGAACTGGTTTCCGAAATAAAAATTAGGGTTTACTACTGAAGGACCTGTTTCTGTCTCCCAATCTAAAACAGACATGGCTGCCATACGCTGCCTTGATGACTCTCAGAGTTTTGACTTACATCAGCAGCACTTGCATTAGGTTAGAAAATTTGTGAGTCCCCAGGAAGCAATTTTTAAAAAAAAAGTGTGTCCTTTGAAAAAAAGTGTGTCCCCTATTTCTAGCCTGTTTGAGGTATAACTTTATTTTAAAAGCACTTTTTACCAAAACACCTTTCAGTTTTTGATTTCTTGCCGCGAATTTAAAACGGAAGCAAACATTAAGTACGGACTGAATAAATGCATGTTCGTTCATTCGACCATGAATACATTTTATTTCATGAATAACCTAATATTTGTTTCTGAATAGGAAAAACTGCGGCGTGTCATGGTTTCAAATCTAAAAATCAAATCTTTCAAGTCGAAAAAATCCGAGAGAATCATGATTATTTGTAAATATTGAACATGTTGAGCCTTATTTACGATTCAAATAAAGGTGAGAGATCATAATTATTCGTTTTTGTTAGGTATCGTTGTAAACACATTGTAGTATGACCTAAAAAAAATTTGCGTCCAAAAAACGGAAATATTTTCAATTTTTGCGTCCTCCAAATTATTTTTGAGTCCTTAACATGTACGGGACGCCGTTAATGCAAGCCCTGCATCAGGCATCTATAATGTCAGATTATATAAGGGCCAAAGCGGTCCTTTTGATGCAACAAATCCAAAATTACAGTGGGAGACATAAAGAATTACAAAAGCTATGGAAATTACATGCTGTCGCACATGTAATAAATTCTTACCTCAGTGTATTCAGTGCTCTATTTTCTCCATCCTAGTTAGTTCAACAAGTTAAACCCAATACCACGGCTTTCATTTATCAATCTGAATGTTATTGTTGCCGTGATTGGGTTTAACTTCTGTGCCATGCTTTTATTTGTTGCAAATTCTCACTATCAGTTATAAATTAAACGCGCATGGAATTCTTTGCGCTGCTATAGGCCACTATTAAATATTTTGCATCAAGGGCCGAATAGGCACGGACGTTAAACCTAGGGCGGGCCACAAGATATGTCAGATAAGAAATAAGGCCCAGACTAGGTTTAACTTGTTGAACTACTTCCTAGTAAGTCCAGATATAGTGGAATTCGTGTCCATAATGACAGATAAGAACTTAAAAATTTGAAGTGGATTTCACATGTTAATGCTGACTCTTCAAATGTTGAGGTGATTTTGGAGCCCGATTACGCCACAATGTGGATTGGCTCCCAGAATGCAACATGACACGTGTCAACTTTCAAAACGCCGTTCCACCATTTTGAAATCTGTCACAAGTAAATAAGGTTACCTGATGTTGCATTCTGGGAGGCAATCCTCCTTGGATCACAAACATGGTGATTCATGAAAACATTCGTTCGATTTGGTAGGGATTTATCCATCATTTGCAGGTATGAAGCTTTGGATTCATTTATTGTGCTACTTAAAGTAAATGGGAATTATTTTTCTACCACTTGGGAGAGGAATGTACTAAAAACCCTTCGACCTACGACCCTTCCACCCTACGACTTACTGGGTGTCAAGAATTTTTGGAATATATTTTATTGAAAAACCCTTCGACCTCTGATTTCCCAGTCCAGTTTACTAAATGATTACGTATAGTTCCAACTTGAGCTCCCTGTGCATGCAAATACGCATTTTACCTGGTAATTGTCAAGCAAAAATGTTTCAGTAGAAAAATTTCTAAAAAAGTTCGTCTACACAGCAAAAATACGAACGCCGAAAAAAACGTACGCATTTCGTTCGGACTTTTCACGCGTCGAAATTTTTCGTCTTATTTTACTTTTTTACTAAAACTTGAAAAGTAGTTGAACGATTTTGAGATCAAAAGTTCAATGGGATTTGCTCCACCTCGCGTTGCTGTTAACTAGTTCTGAAATGTTTCATATCTATGTCTAATAAATATAGTTGTATAGATGTGTTTGTAATAACCTTTATGCCCTTAAAATGTATATATTCAGGGGGGGGGGGCATTCGTGGGTTCAAGTGGACCACTCCATTGGCCAAATATTCTCTCAAAATCAGTACAATTTTTCACGATTCTGAGCATTTTCAAGATTTCTGGGCCACTTGAAAATTGTCAAATGTTCACCCCTTGATCCTTTTGAAAAACTTGAATTGGCAAAAGCTGGTTATACGAACCTGATATGACCTAGCTTGCAAGCTTTTTCTTGACGGTTTGTGTTTATTTTCCTTGCAAAACAAAGTATCTACTTATTTAGTTGGCATTAGATTCTTAACTATACAAATCCAAATTGAATCAAAGTTGATAAAATCAAAAGACGGTTGTCTTTAAACTATATAAAAAATTTGACCTCCTGAAAATATGCACGATGCGCCACTGTTACAGAATGTGATGGGAAAAGCACAAATATTTTTACTGAGGAGGTAAGAAACGTTCACATTCGAATGTGCTTGAATACATTAAACCTGCACATCGCTCCAAAACGCAATATGTTGACATATATTGTTTTTACATTTTTAAGCTCTAATATAAAGTTTATGTAAATAAAAAAAAAATTATCTGCGTAATGTCAAAGAACAATCATTTAGTTAAAAAAATAAAAAGGCGAATGCGGGATTCGAACCCGGGCCTCCCGCGTGCTTAGCGAGCATTCTTCCGCTAGACCATCGTGATTTTAAGGATGGTGGGAGTAATTAAACGCTACTTATTTTGAATGCTATGATTCGGAAGTGACGTCACGTTCTTCATTTAGAAACCTTTCCGAAGTCCAGCTTTAAATATCTTTAACTCTCTTGGGACAGATTCTTAAGTTCTATATACACAAAGTAATATTTCCAGCAACTTCATATGGACTGAGAAATAGCCTATCTAGAAGGTCGAAGGGTTTTTATAAAAATATATTTCAAAAATTCTTAACACGCTGTAAGTCGTAGGTCGCAGGGTCGAAGGGTCGAAGGGTTTTTAGTACATTCCCTTGGGAGAGTTTGAGAAACGAAACTTAGAATTTAGTTCATTGTGACAACTTTTGAGGGTTGAGATTTATTTTTGTCCCCCACTTTATATAAAATCTACAAGTGCCTATAAAAGCATGAAGTGCACTTACTTTATATCACTTTTTTCTTCTCTGTTGACTAAATCACCAAATTTATCCGTGAGCCTTCTATTCAGCAACCAGCTATCGCTTCCAGCCATGATTTACCTTCGATATCAAAACTTTCTCACACTTCTATTTTGTTCACTTCCGGTATTAGTTGCTACTCGTTAGAAAATATGGATCGATCAATTTTTCAGAACCAAATTGTTGGATTGATAATGTTGTGTTGAGTCTTTGGTCCTCCAAATAATAAGACTGAATGTATATGTATCTCTAATTTTACCATATTTTTTACAAATATGGTACAAGGTGCAATTTTGTCAGATTTTTCTGCTAAAATGATATGGGTGCATGGTGCATGGGTGCATGCATGCACCCTTATCTAGCCATATCACAAGCAGAAATATCAGATCAGACAGACTTGGAAAAGGTAAATGCACCCATAATGCTTACTGCAAATCATGAGAATGACCCCAATATATTCATTTCGATACCTTTTCAGTGACCTCTTTAGCAGCAAGCCTTCACTACTGGCAAACAGAGGCAATGTCAACAAGGTAGCCTAACAATCATATCCAGTGTATCTCAACATAAAGGGGCTTCCTAAGGGGGGAACATGGGCCAACCAGAAAGTTTCCTTTCAAAAAATGAGTTGAAACCAAACCGTAGATCTATTTTTATGTAAGGTTCAAATTATATTCTGATTCTATTCAGTGTTCTCCCCAAAAAAAATTTTCAACTGGGTGCAAGATTTCAAGTCAGAAAAAATCAGTACTCACTACGCTCACAATATCTCAGTGTAGGTGCTTACTTCACTCATTTTTCAAATCAGAAGTTGAAGTGCAGATTCCAACTGGGTGCCAACTGGGGGGCCTTTGGTTTCAAGTAGGGGGAGCCCCCGGTAAAAGTGACATGGGGAGATCACTGCTATTTAATTCTGTCACTGTAAACTAAATCTGCTTTAAACGGGCTTATTTTTCAAATAATAAGTCTTTTGCAGATTATTGATGTGGATGTGACTCTGGAACCTTATACCGCTATAGTGGGCTGGAGCAGCATAGCTAATTGTATATGTATTCCATATTTATTTGCTTTTGTATACCTTATTTTTTGACCCTCCTATTACATTTTTGGGGGGGTGTATTCCATACTGTATTTTTCAATATTCATATTCCATACATCTTTATTGTACAGGGTGTCCCGAAAGTATGGGGCCCCCCCTAGGCAGACATATACCAGTGTCGTCATAGTAAGTGTCATATATCATTTTAAAGCTTATCCAAAGTTACATTGATTCACCAAGTATCATGGTTCAACTCTCAAATGTGAAAAAATTACAGGCATTTCAAAATTTAATGTTTGGTCAAAATTAAGTTCAATTTTACGCCAAATCACTAGTCAATGTGTCCTCCCGGGCCATCTTAACAGCAGCAATTCTTTCGTGTCGGATGGATATTGAGTTGGAAAAAGAGAACGGTATGGGTAGAAACTCTAAGGAAACTCTTCTAAAGTCCCTTAACAGGTTTTAAGAAGGTTATAAAATTCCACACTCCTATTTGAAGGGCTTTTAAGGTCATATCGGAAAATAATTGCCGATGTTAACATGGCCAAGGGGGGACACATTGACTAGTAATGTGGCGTAAAATTGAACTTTATTTTGACAAAACACTAGCTTTTAAAATGACTGTAACTTTTTCCCATTTGGGAGTTAAACCATGATACTTGGCAAATCAATGTAACTTTGGACAAGCTTTAAAATGATATATGACACATACTATGAGGACACTGGTATATGTCTGCCTAGGGGGGGCCCCATACTTTCGGGACACCCTGTATATGATGCTCATATATTTAAACACAAACCAAAAAAATACTTTAGATGCTGAATGCTGATGTATCATCGATGTTCAGTCAATCATAATATGACAGTCTACTTATTTTCATTTAAATGAACAACTGACCCCAAGGCCATCTATAACAGCCTATTTTATCAAATCCAAAATGGCCCCAAATGTCACATATTAGAAAATAACAAATTCAAGTTTTATGGAATATACATGTACATTTATTTAAATACTAATCATATTACAATGTACAATACTGCAAGATACCAACACTTAGACAAAATAGTACAAGTATAAAACTACAGTAAGTTGAAAAGTTCAGCATGAAGTATTCATCTATGAAAATAAAATATTTTAATAAAAAACGTTTTGATATTAAGGCCTTTTTATAAGTATACAGTATCATAAAATGGAAGTGGAGTGCTCAAAGTGATTTTCAAGAAAAGTTACAATATCAAATTATGTAATACTGTATTTGAGTAAATATATCAAATAAATTCACAAATGTCACAGATTCATATCATATTGAAGTCACAAAACTGTATATAATATCAAACTAGTTTATAATCTTAATTAAAAAAAATCAAAAATCTTTGATTAAATCCTTTTCCTGAATCTCATAAAAATTTGCATAAATTAGTTTCATTTTCTCAAGCGAGAAGAGTATTCATTATACAGAAAAAAGGAGTAAGAATATCGTAACAAGTAAGAACAGAAGAATAAGAACATGAGATTATTTAGAACATAAGTCTTGTTTCAAATTCTATATCTATCCTCTATTTCAATATGAAAATAGATTTATGGGGGAATACACGAGTTTCAGTGCAGGACTGGATCTTAGCAAGAATTATCCATATTATGGCAATTAAAATATGTTTTTCCTACTATCGCATAGAGATTTGAGTTAATTTCTGCTAACTGTTGAAAGCCATGTTTTATGTGAAAGAAGAACACTATCACGTAAAAGTAAACCATAAACAGAAACAAAATCACATAGACTTTAAAAGTATTTGTATTTATAAACGAGATCTAAATTTGAAATGATTTTGAAAGATAGGGAATTTATAAGAATAAATTGTACATGTACACCATTATATATTTTATAACTTTACACCACACCTTAATTTCTCACAATTGACAGTATACATTTGTCAAAAATTGTTTCACAAATTGTTTGAATGTTGCCAAGACAAACAAAATGTCCGTGCTGTAATATCATACGAGAAAATTCTAGTTAAAGAAGGAATGGTGTTGAAAAGCTCAATGAATAACAAGTTAATGATGAATGCAAAGTATATATACACAAACAAATGATATTGTCACTCTTTGTAATGAATTACATCAAGAGAATGACAAAATGTGAGAACTACAAATGTGTGAATTACAAAGTTGATATCGGAGTTTCTCCATCGGGATGATGCATAACATACTTGCTCTGAAATTCTAAATGTTGACAATCTTGGCAAGAGGTGTCATTTTCATTTGGAAAATGTGTCTATTTTCAAAACATGTTTTACAAGGAGGCTGTCAATAAAGCCTTGACAATGTAAATTACTACTGAACACACCAGTTGTGTATGGTAATTGAACCATTAGTAAACGTCAAAATATTTCCAATTAGCAAAACTGAAGCAGACAATTCATAAAGTAACTAGCTTATCATGAAAATCATGTATGTGTATGCACATCTCCAAGGTAACACAAATCTCCATGGCGACAGAATTTAACAGAGTAATGATATTATAAACATAATCCCAGAACATCATGATTAATTACTCCTAGGGTAGTCTTACATCAATCCAATGTGACCCCCTCCCTCCCCTATTACATAACTCCTAAAAGAGCTGGTAAGACAAGTAGAGAGGTGGGTCAGACTTGATGCAAGACTACTTATGAGTCTGGACTCCCCTTTAGTCAATATTTGAATTAAAGATTGTACATAATCTATCATTTTTTATTTAACAGTAATATATATTTTATGGTTAATAGGGTGAACAACTATAAATCTAATTAATATGATCTATTATAATATTCTGAATTTCTCATTTAGTCTTGTATCGAGCCCTTGTATCTACCACGCAGTCAGGGAACTGATAGGGGTGACAAAGAGATTTGATACAAGAGTAACTAATATGTTTCATTAGAAGCAGGAAACCAGTGATATTTCTGTTTGTTTTTACCCAAATCACTTGTTGTGAGGAATTTTGTGACCGTTTTTACGTTAAATTGTCATTTCTAAGGTGATATTTCCATTTGTTTTACCAAATCACTTGCTTGTTCTGAGGAAATTTGTGACCATTATTTTGTTCAAATTGTCATTTCCAATAATTTTGTCTTATGGTTTTCATTGATATTGGCTGCTGCCTGAAGTTCTAATGAAACCTATCTTTTTACACATTTTTCACACAGTGGTCATTGAGGTCCTTTAAAGTGTATACTATCATAAACATTTAGATCAAACCTACACCACAAACTGTTAAGACTTTTATACAACTAAACAGGTTAATTTCCTTCAATTCTAGATTTTACAAAATTTTGAGAAAATAGACTGGACCCCAATGCCCACTGCAAAGTTATTATGTACAAGGTACAGGGTGCGACATAAGTGTTGGCTCAACTTCAAGCTCAACATTTTCAGCGTGTTTAGGATAATACAGATCAATTTTGTCTATAAGGTCTGAAATGTTTATGACGCACTCTGTCAAGGCGGAACTCTCTTGGACGTGATTACGATTAGTTTACAGCTATGATACATAAATGCTATATATTAAATATATTCTATCCCTTAAAATTAATAACATGTAGCCTCAATTATGTTTTTCTTATTTATTTGTCCTTTAAAAAATATATAGTATCTAGATCTAATATCCCGTTTTTGTCATATTTGCTTGAAGAAAACATTTCAGCAGCTTACAATAATGCAGCTACAATATTTTAGTAGCTTTAACAATAATGCAGTTGGAACATTTTAGTAATTTTATGTTAGTTATGTTCTTTTATATCTGTGTTATAACATTACAATAAATGCGAGTACTTATTTATTGTATTTCTTTTATTTTGTATTAACATAGATCACTTTTAAGTTAGTAGATAATTGTTATCCTGTAGTTGGCTAATGTTCTGGATTTTATCGATGGTTCTGAATATGACTGTCCTAAAATGTTCTCCTCAAGCATTTTCTACTCCGTATTTTACTTGTAACCAAGGTAACTAGTGTACACTACAACTGGGCTTAATGCTCAGACAGTCACAGATCGATAAAGTTTTATACGACTTCATACTCTTTCTTGATGGTACGTCCGAGACAACAGGCCAGGATGATGCCAAGGACCTAGAAGAAAAGAAAAAAGAGATATGATAAATGATAAAAATTATCAAATAGCTATAATGTCAATAGAATACAATATGGCGAATCAAAGTTGAAAACAAATTCAGCATGCACACAGTCAATGGCCAAGTCAACACTGAATTTATATAAACACCAAGATATTGATCTTTGACCTTGGAATGACCTTGACATTGACCTCAGGTCACTAATCATGGGTCACAAAGGGTCACAGCAGCCCCAAAGTGTCTTAAATGCCAAATACCCCAATATTGACCTCGGAATGACCTTGACCAATAAAACGAAGCAGCCCTCAAATGCCTTGAAATGCAAAATACTTGGATATTGTCCTTTGAATGACCTTGACCAATAAAACTGACATTAACACAGCAGCCCTCAAATGCCTTGAAATGCAAAATACTTGGATATTGACCTTTGAATGACCTTGGCCTCTGTTGAATACCCATTGACCCACTTAGTGTGCTGACCCAAGATTGAAAAGTCTAGGAGCAGATGTCCGGACAGACAAATGATCATACTTTATAGTCAGAAAAACAGCAATGAAACATTACATTTCAAGAAAATTAAAAAATAGGTTCATGTCTTCTATATTCTCTAAATACAAGGGAAACTCTAATTGAAAGTCTGTAAGTGCTTTATCAATTTTGCTACTGCTGTCATTTGACATCCTAGACATACAAGCTGGTAGATGTAAAGTACAGAAATAGATGTGATGCAGACATAATGTAATAATATAACATAATAGTTGTGGCACCATAGTCAGGCGATACAATCACAAAACAACAGGCATGATGCATTATACTTGTAAAATGGATAATACAAAGGATCCAAATATTAGTACAATGGGACTATTTTATCGAACAAGTTGCCATTCTCCAAATGTAGGCTTCAGGCATCATTCCCTTGTTTCATCCTTCAGAGTGGATGATGTCTACAGCCCTGTGTTTGGAGGATGCAAGTTTCAACCAAAGAGTTCTACCAGTGCATTCCTTCACTAGTTAATAGGAAGTGACATAAGGACCAGTCATGAACAACTGTTTTTTTAACTGAACTGCCTTGATGTTTTTTGCATTCTCTGTTAATACAAAGCTACACTACCCAAAATGTAAATATCATCTACACTACCCCAAAAAGTCAATTTTTAACAGTCCTAAAGTATTATATTGAAGGTATTCAACATGTATAATTTGTATAATTCTGAGACTGTAGATTACTGATACTGGATTACATTAATACATTCATAATTCAAAACATGCATTATTATATAAAAATGGGCTTCATAACTGATAATAAATGACAGATATATATAGATTACATTGATGATATGAAGAACAAATTGCTCCTCCTCTTTGCTTGTAAATATAAAATTTGAAATGGAAAATTGATTATAAAATGATAGTAATTTGCTTTGAACTGATCTATTTTCACATGTTATCTAATGGAAAGGAATTCAGGAAACAACTCTATTGAGACCTGCGCCATCTATAAGAGTTATGAGGCCCAATCCGGGTAAAAATTTAGACAAAATCAAACTGATCAGAATTATATATAATTTTCCTCAGCAAATCATTTTTTGGGGTTCAAAAGGATACAAAATCCAAATAATTGGGCATTATGGGACTAATATAACTGAATGATAAACTGGAAAATGATCACTTTTCAAATTGTTTGTATTCTGAAATCTGATTGCTCAATGTACACACAAATGTCGGCATAAATCAGATTGGTTGCTTGCTAGATCAACAAGATGGATTGAATAAGATTGAATAATAAGACTGAATAAGCCATGGTTATTAATTACTTTATGTCACAAAGTAGAAGTGACTGATGTGACAAATCATGTTGATGTGACATTGTGGTATGTTATGAAATTTGCTTATACACATATTAACATTAAAATGTAGAACTTCATGACAAACTGATCACTGTCTGAAATAAAGATCAGCAAAAAAATAAATGAATTCATATATTGCAAATTACAGTCATCAATTGTCAAAAGCCACCCTGGTAGCTTATACAAAAACAATGATTTAGAGTAATCATGAAAATCTTAAGGTAAATGCCACTAGATAATACATCCCTATGTATCTCTTATATACAGGAATGATAACTGCAGTTGATCTTCACCAATCACCCCTTCACCTCCACTAAATAACAAAAGATAACACAGGCGGATTAGGAGAGGGGGGGCAGGGGTCCCCAGATCTGGCCCTGGATAATGCAACGTAAAACCTGAAGAACCACCAGCAAATCTCTTAAACACAAACCAGCCTATTTTAATCAGAAGAAAATTGGTGTAAAGTAATTTGGATCTATCACCCCTGCCAGGTTCTCTATGGGCCATATACCAAACTGATATGGTATTAATTTGCTTCAAACAGAGGGATGACTTTGGAGATGTTTGAACAGCAAGTTAATCAGGCAAATATCTCATTCTATGTAGCCTACATTACCATTTCAAAGAAACAACTTGAGTAAACATTCAATGTTTGGATATGTTCACAAAACAAAAAATGTCTGCATTAATCATATACATGTAGTGTACATATCAGAACAAAAAATGCTGCCTTTACAAAACCAATCTCCCATCCATGCAATGATAGAAAAAACAGTACTGACATGCACAGCCTAAACCATAACCATGTATCTAAAACAGAATTCTCTACTTGGTAACATTTAAGTCATGTTTGTAGAATAATTCTGATTATCTAGACACATCTCGTGCAGTGGTATAGAACGAGACAACTAAAAGCCACATATGCTTTAACACATAAACATACAAACATTTGCGAAAACCTTCCCTACATGTTTTTGAATTAAACAACTTGATATTCTTTCTTAATTGTTTTAGCCAAGCAACACGCTAGAACAACACCGATGAGCTGAAATAAAATAAAATAAATATATATTAAAATATAATGTGTTTTTGAGTATCGTCACAAATCTGATTAGTTAAATCAGTTTCAAAGGCCTCAGTATCTTAAGACTTGTAGATAAAACTGATTTTTAAATCATTTAACAACATGTTTGAGAAAAAAGTTTCTCCCTCCTCCCTTCTCATTCTCAAAACAAAACTTGGAATTTCAAGGATTTCAATAAGAATTAGAAGTCAAGAGCAAATTTCAATATTTGTCAGCATTTCTTTTAAAGTCTTGCATCAAGTCCCTGGCCCCCTCCCACATCTACATTGTCATCTCATATGGAGAGGAACTTGTAGAGGGGGGGGGGGGGGGGTTATAAGGACTTCAAGCAAGTTTGACAGATATATGGTGTGACAAAAAAAATTCACACTCATCAGCAAATCAAAAACTTATACAATATTTAACATATGATTACACAAGAAACAAGACACACAGTGATAAATATCGCACTTTGAAGAGCAAACTGGCCACCATGCAATTTACCCAGCATGGCCAAAACCTAATCAGACCTTGGCACTAGTCTGCTCTTGCATCTGTAAACATTTCAAGTTGACAAGGTTAGCGGTTTCCTGCAATTTTGATGACAAGAATTTATTTGTAGTCTGGAACTTTGGGAAAATTTAGATAACATCGTTTGTGACCTAATTTGATGACCTTCGACCTTGAAAATTTAACTTTTTCAGACCTCAGTAGGTGTTTTGTAATTAAGCTGACCTAAATTTAAATCCAAAATATCAATTTAGAAAATCAACTTTTTTTACCTTTTCAAGGTCACTGAAGGTGAATGAAAGGTCAAATCTGAAATCTAAGGTCAGATTTGAACTTCTGAGAACTTGTAGATGTTTTTTAAAAAAAATTTGGTCAATTTGGAGCAAGTTGAAAAATTCAAAATGGCCGCCAAATTGAAAAATTCAAAATGGCCACCATGTAATTCAGCCAGCATACCCAAAACCTAATCAGATCTTGGCAATAGTCTGCTCTTGCATCTGCAAAAATTTCAAGTTGAACGGATAAGTGGTTTTCCTGGAATTTTGATGACAAGATTTGTTGAAAAATTCAAAATGGCCGCCACGTAGTTTACCCAGCATGCCCTAAACCTAATCAGATCTTGGCACTTGTCTGCTATTGCATGTGTAAAAATTTCAAGTTGAACAGGTTAGCGGTTTTCTTGGAATTTTGATGACAAGAATTGATTTGTAGTCTCAAACTTTGAGAAACTTGGATAACATCATTTGTGACCTAGTTTAATGACCTTGACCTTCGACCTTGAAAATTTAACTTTTTCAGACCTCAGTAGGTGTTTTGTAATTAAGCTGACCTAAATTTAAATCCAAAATATCAATTTAGAAAATCAACTTTTTTGACCTTTTCAAGGTCACTGAAGGTGAATGAAAGGTCAAATCTGAAATCTAAGGTCAGATTTGAACTTCTGAGAACTTGTAGATGTTTTTAAAAAAAAAATTTGGTCAATTTGGAGCAAGTTGAAAAATTCAAAATGGCCGCCAAATTGAAAAATTCAAAATGGCCACCATGTAATTCAGCCAGCATACCCAAAACCTAATCAGATCTTGGCAATAGTCTGCTCTTGCATCTGTAAAAATTTCAAGTTGAACGGATAAGTGGTTTTCCTGGAATTTTGATGACAAGATTTGTTGAAAAATTCAAAATGGCCGCCACGTAGTTTACCCAGCATGCCCTTAACCTAATCAGATCTTGGTACTAGTCTGCTCTTGCATCTGTAAAAATTTCAAGTTGAACAGGTAAGCAGTTATCCTGGAAATTTGATGACAAGATTTGGTTTATGTCCCGCCCACCCGCCCGCCCGCCCAACAGCACAAGACGACGGCAATATAGCACTTTTTCAAAGTGCGATAAAAAAATGACTAATAGAATTTTCCTATCCCTACTCCCAAAGTTTCCTATACAGAGATAACGATATAAAATGTCAACCCTACAAATGGAAGGAACTATATTTTGTGTTTATTTACCTGTACAAAGGCAAGTCCAATTCCTACGCCTCCAATGATGATTATGTTTTTCTTAATCCAGTCCTCGAATCCTGACAAGCATCCTCGCCCCTTAATGAAAACATGTACATATGAATATATAACATGCATTTAAAATGCATTTAATAATCATTTACACATAAAAGCAAGGAATTCACATGCAAATGCCACCACCTGTCTTTGTTACAGATACCAAAACACTAATCGCTGACAGCCAAACACTAGCTACCAACTGCCAAACACCATCCACAAAAAAGTTGGAGACTATAACAATATGTCAGCACTTCTGATGGTGACATAACAAATATTAAAGTCAGCCCGGTTTAAGCATATTTTCTCATAAGAGAGTGAAAATCCTCATGTAATGATTATCAATTAGTTGCCAATTGAATAATGACCAGTGAAAGAGAAGACCTAATTACAAAACATCCTGCAATGTCTTCACCATGATTTTCCCTAGGTGCGTACAAAATGATTTTAATCACAATTTTGCTCATAATATGCTTTCAATTTAATAACTTTCAATTATGTATCTCCTTTTCAAGCGGGTGCAAATAGATTTTAGCTTGGTGCTTGAACAAGGTTTAATCTCAAAATCTTATGAGAGGGTTGCAGCACCTGCTAACTGGTGAGTTCACTGTCCTTTGATGCAGTCCCGAAGCATCATTTGCACAAGAGTTATATATATTTTGAGATCACCCCCCCCCCTTTGATACAGGCCCAAAGCATACATACCTTAGGGGTCCCACTGAGGTTTGCAACAGTGCTTGCACAGGTAGGCTCAGTTTTAAATATCTTTGAATCACAGCAAGAGGCAGGTGCTGTGATAGGTGTAGTTACATTGTTGACAGTTGCAGTTAAGTTGTAGCCTGCCCAGTCAGTGTAGTTGTTGGTACCGCAGCATTGGAACTAAAATTAGAGAACATAAAGGTTCAATATATGTTTAAGGATTTTAACTCTGGACTCAATGCAATGTATGCTGAATCATTCCATTGAAGGTATTGTTTCCAGGTTTTACTGCTCTTTAAAGTTGATTCAATCTCATGAAGACTCATCTCTACTCCAATTTTAAATGGGTTTTATTCTGTAAATGCTAAACATTACGATTTTGTCTTCTTTTTATTTCTTTGCTATATTATAAAGTGTACAATTTACGAAACTTATGACCTATGCTTTTCTGGATACATAGCGAGTCATATAGCTAGGCACTCAACATGTCGAATACACTCAACATGTTGAGTACACCAATGCATTGTCAATGCTTATACAGTAAAGCCCCTACTAGTTGAACACTGCCTTTGGGACCTCTAAAAAGTGTTCCACTTGAGAGGTGTTCCACTTAAGATGTCCCACTTGATATTTTTTCATGGACAGTGACACGAGTTATTACCATCATACTTTCTGCGCTTTAGAAAAAAGAACAATACTCACATCCTGCTGGATCTTATCCCATATTTGTGTGACGCCATCTTTTCCAGATTTTCCGTAGTTCTGCATACCTTCACTCATCTTCTCCTGGATGATAGTCCTGACCTGAAAATAAAAAAGTCACACAGTGAATAATAATGTCCCTAGATACAAGAATTGCCATCTCAAAAATTATGCAGCATGCCTAAAAATTAACTTATTGTACGTTATCATTCCTGAAAATTTCAGATCATCTGTCAAGCCATTATGATCGCAGCCTTCTGATCTTAGGATTTAGCTAGTTTGACAAGGCATTATCATGCAATATGTCACCACCCACCATTTGTTACAGATGCCGAACACCAAACATCAACCATAGAGCACCAACCTCTGAACACTGCCCAATAAAAAAGTAGGAGACCAGAACAATATTTCAATACTTGTGCTGGTAACATAAAATTGAAAAAGATTTAATAATGAGTATTTGAATGCCATCAAGTCATTTGTCGGAAATGATTATAGGCAAGAAAAATCAGACATGCTCAACAGTACAGTGAATTTTGAATGTCAAGGGTGCATGTACATCGATTTGTAAATGTGAAAAACGAACACATTGCAGATGAATTGTTATATCTCCGAATTGTTGCTCTTCCCCTTAATGCATAACCAGTCAATGAAGCTGACAACAATGTTGACCTTTTTAGGTATGATACTAAAAGTAATAACGAATTAACATTATGTAAATCATGCAAGACCCCCTCCCCATCTACAGAGAAGGGATACAGGCATTTTTATGATGCCTTATGACAAAATTACCCGAACCCATTAACATCTTATTCAATACTAAAATCATCTGCAGCACAATGAGGGAAGTGAGTTTAATTGAATTGGATTCAGGGTAAGAGTTCTCCATAGCTGCAGTATAAATAAGCAATTTAATGAAAATAAACCCATGTACAGAACTAATAACTACTTGACAGCTCAAGACATATTAATTTGATCTAGCTTATAGTTTGATAAGTTGTACCATTCCATCTGTCTAGTTATTTATTTGATACATGCACATTTTCATCATGTATAAAGTCGACCAGATAAGTTATGTCAATTTGTAAATCAGAAAATATAGTGAAGATGAATATTTTAAGTATAAATGTGAAGGGTAATATTTCGTAACTCAGTGGACAGATTCGGTTCAAATTTCATAGGCCAAAAATGGTGGCCATTTTGAAATTCAGTGGCCATCTTGACCATCTTTACTCAAGCAAAGCTACTTTGTCTCTAGGTATCAGCATATAAAATCTTGAACCAGATTTGTAATCTAATATTTGAGTTACAAGTTACATTTTTTACAAAAATGGTGGCCATTTTGAATTGAGTGGTAAGATAGACGGATAGACAGACAAACAGCTTTTCTATATTCCTCTCGAAATTCATTAGGTGGGATAATTACTGTATTACTGTTATGTGTTGTTTTAACTTAGCATTGTTACCATTCCCTCAATGCATCAATGAAGATAAACATTATGAGGAACATAAACCTATTAATCATTACGGGTGATTTTACTGAAATTAATAACTGTAAACATGCTTTATTTTCATTTTAAAAAGCAACACTTTAGTTAGATAAATCGGTATAGCAATGTCATAAACCTTTATGTTTCTTATACTTCAGGAAATCAATATTTAATTATTTAATAAAATATTTTATGCCGGCACCTCTACTTCAAGTTGCCTGCTATTGCAATAATAACTCCTATACTGTTATCAGAGTGTTGAATCCATTTGTGTGATATAAATATTTGATGAACAATTTTCTAAATGCATATACTTTAGAAGCAGGTTCAGATAGTAAGTTACATATTGAGGTCTGGATTACCAGATCATGTTCTTATATTTCAATTCATATATTCTAGGTAGTATGTGAGCTTGGATGTATAGTAGAACCTGTATATCTGAACAACTGGCTAATCCGAACACCTCCCAATCTGAACACTTTTTTTCGGTCCCATTTTTTCCTCCCATTGACTCCCATGTTAAAAAAAACTTGAAATGTGAACACCTCCCAATTTGAACAGTGAACAGTTATATCTGAAAAAGTCACCGGTCTAATCTGAACACTTTTCATGAAATTTCTGATGTTTCATGCAAAATTGCTCAAATTTTGTCATGATATCAAAACTTTGGGAAATAATCTTGAATGGTCTCATTCATAATGGGGCTTTCCAGCATGACTAGATTCATTTGAATCAAATTTTCAAATTTCTGGAATGTCATAAAGCTATGTGGTCAAAAGTACTATAAATATTTACCGAGAATGTGTTCACATTTCCTTAAAATCCGGAATATTGCGAATGCAAAAACCTTGTAATGTGAACACCTCCTAATCTGAACACTTTTATGCGGTCTAAATGGCATTCGGATTAGACAGGTTTTACTGTAGTTATATTATGTATACAAGGTTTGATAGAATGAGAGATTTAAGGCCAACCAGCTGGTAGGTCATAGCTGCTTGGACTAAAGTTTAATTTGATTTTGAGCATTTCTCATATATCTAAATTTTAAATAACCCCACTTTTTTCAAATTCTACTTGCATACATGCGTATTATGCATTGCAGAATATAGGCAATCTCCAAGGCATTAAAAAAAAGTAGCCAACGTATTAGTCATGGCGCAGTATTATATTGAGATAACTAGGTTTACATCAAGAAAAAAAAATTGAGTGTTACTTGTAAAGTAAGTTAGTCTCCACATAATGGTACTGTCTGATACCTTATATACGCGCAGTTTGTCAGTGTTTCAAACTGCGTGCATAGTAATGCATGCAGTTTGGATACCGTGCCGTGTTAGTTGCACTCGCAAATACAAGCTCAGTTTGATCGCGAATGTAACTAACGCCTGTCGGCTACTGGTTTGACCATCCATATTTAAATGAGTTGGTCATGAAAAGTAGGTTTATCCGGTAGCCAACAGGCGTTAGTTGCATTCGCGAATACAAGCTTAGTTATAAGCACTGATTACACAGCCGGCTTATAAACAGATTAACATTTGCACTTGTACAATACATGATCTCTCAGCCATGAGTTATATATTTTTATAAAGCATTAATGTGGGAAGAGTAGGTATAATCTAGATCAATATATGTTTCATTACCACAAATGGAGATAATTCAGGATTTATAATAGCATAATTGAAAAGAATTATCAAATTTTCTCCGTATATGTATAACCCATCCCCCTGATTTTTAGATATTTTAGTTTATGTTTTGCTGCTATCATTATACCTAGGGTGTGTTTTTGTTATTTTGTTATCCTGGTATATTGAAATGCAATCTTGCTTTAGCACCTGTTGCTAGGTAACCCACTCACCCTCGCAAATATTTCCCCATATATTTTAGCTCAAAAATGAATTATTCAGGATGCATACAGTTCAAAGATTAATCTAATAGGACCTAACCAGACTCTGACAAACATTTTCAGACACCAAAAATAACCTCAATTTCATCATATGAAAAAATAGGCAAAACTGATGACTGTTAAAATATGTGATATTTATTGGGCCTATAGTATATGTCACCCCGACCTATACGACACAACATTCTCCTCTCACATTTTCATTATTTTCTGAGTAAAATAGAAATGCAAGAGCACTGAGGCGTCCAGCTCTCATTTGTACGTACATTAAACATAAGCGTGATCTAGTGCAAAATAGCATGCATAAATGTAACATAAGTTCTATTAGTATGAGGGGTCCATAAACTATACTGGCACGAACAGGAAATACATGAAGATTGAACGCTCGATTCACAAAATTATGAGAAATTACCTGGAAAAAGAATGCCACCAGAAATTTTCAGTAAGGGTAAATACACAATTTAATCCTGATGATATAGAAATAAAGCATTGCTGATATCTCTGTTCAAGCCTGAGAAAATAAGGGGTGGTATTCAAATGTCCTTTAGATTTAATGTTAACTTTGTCATCGTGAAGCCCCCTCCTTCCCCTCTAGCAAAATATTATTAAAGTGCTGTTATATTTTCAGGGCCAGATATCAATATTTCATATAACAAAATCATTGTTCACCCCTTCTTCCATATCAAAATGAATGAGTTATGCGTGGGGTTGAGTATATTCCAGATACTCTAATCTTAATGGGGTAAGTTCAAGCTGATAAGGCATCCTTCGAACACAGGCCTCCAAAACTTGTAACTCCTTCTTCCAAATGAGTTCTAGAGGCCTGTGTTATTTTGGGGGGGGGGGGTTAAATAAGGGTGAAAATACTATATTAAGGGTACTCTCAAGGAGGGCCTTTACAGAGGCTATGTTTTACACCCTTGGCTAAAAAATTGATTTGAAATATCTATTCTCACTTATTATACCTCAATTTTTTTCAAACCAATAATGGTTCAAAATGAATAGAATTTTTTTCTTGAATACAGTTTGAGCACAATTTTTTCTATTCAATTTGCCCTAAAATAGTTTTATCTGAAAAGGTTTAGATTCTCTTGAGACTGCATGTAACAGGATGCTACAGCTATTTTCAATGTACATTTACTGCGAATGTACCTTTACATTCCAATACAATTATACAGGTGCATCATGCTTGAGCTTTACAAGCCACATTCTATTTATAAAAGGTTGTGCCCCACTCCTACTCTTCACTCTTTGACTTGTTAACTCCTGATTACAGGTCATGTGACACATCTACTGAAAAGAATTGCCAAATTAACAAATCCATTTACATAAAATGATAAGTAAATGTAAGTATTTTGTGGTGTTGACCAAAACTATCTAAAGTTGCAAAACACAAGGCTTGGCACACCATATAATTAATCACACGTGTAAGTCTATATACATAAATCACCAGTTCTACTTGAAGTATCAAAAACAAACTGGACAATAAACAAATCTTACAATGTCCAGTAAAAGTTATCTGCTTTCAGGTTGCCCCATCCTCCTTCATGGAATATGTCAAAGAACAGACAATTCTCAAAACTCATACAGGATTAGCCAATGAAATTGATATCATGATTAATCACTTTTGAAATGTCATACCTAGGAAAGTCAGAAATTCATGATGACGGGGAATCATATGATGCTTATATATCATGTGACTTCCTCTGACCAAA